ATTGGTCAACTGGGTTTGGGATGCATGGGTCATTTCCGGAAAGTGATTGGGTACCATCGTCAAGATGCAGCGTCAAGGTTGCAAAGGGTGCCCTGGGAATTTGAAGTGGAACCGTAACTCCACGAACTCACGCGCCCTTCGATGGAAGGACTTCCTTACGTCCACGCTTGGAGAACAATGCGAGCCAGTCCTGCTTGCCTTGCACCGCTTCGTCCCTGAGTTTACTTTTGCTGGTTGCTCATCGGACTTCCAACGCGCTACTGCAGGAGCAGTTTTCTGCATTCTAAATTCCGCCTTCCCGAGTCTCACTGTCATGTCTCTCAAGAAATTTGGACTTCTCAGTTTAAAAATGCTAGTGGACACCCGCACCTGCCCACGTCCCACAGCAGAAGTTTCATGCTTCCTTCGTTTCGTCTTGAGTTCCTTCTTCTTCTCAGTGCAACAAGTGAATTGCTTTCACACCACGATACGAGATGCAGGGGAATCATTTTCTTATTCATCATCTCAGTGCAACGAAAGCCTGAACCTGCATTTTTTTTTCTTTTCGGTGCACCTTCTTCGATCTTATTTATGCAAAGACAATGACCATGTAATGTATCTGCCAATCCCTGCTACAGCCTTGGCGTCTTCTAATAACCAGGATCGATCAGTACAGTTGAAGAGATCAAGTCTATGTTATTAATAAGCAAGGAACTATGTACGTATGTGCGTATGTATGTATGTATTAACGCGTTCCAAATTTACCGCTTCGTTCGACATCTTCTGCAATAGACATCTGAAACGAATGTTCTTCATGCGAAGTTGCACAGAAACGATCAAAACTTTGGCAGTATGACCACGTCTCGGACGCTCCAGTAACCAACGGAGAGATAGGCGGTACGTGCGTCAGATTGGCGTTACCGTAAACTTCTCCGAGCATTCCAAAATCCTGGTGGAACGGAGACGAGTGCTAAAGAACGCAATCAGATTCAAACTATTTGTTCCAATCTGCGGTCAAGCAGCTGTATATCCCCATATATCTGATTTATTCCACGTTCATAAACCTACTTCAAGTCGCAGGGTGTGATGTTGTCTCGCTGTCAAGATATCGATGCTGAACTTTCTGCATGATTAATGTTTCTTGTGGTGATGGAGTAGGTAACTCAATTATATTAGTGATTCAGTCAACTATCACGTCCTTGTCGGCCCTTCGGATGGGTGAAGGCTGTCGATGTAGCATGACGTATCTATACACGTCCATGTCTATTATATTACCCCTTTACCTGTTCATTTTATCCTTTGAGTGAAATTCCAAGCTTGACTGACCGGCCCTGTTGAATGATGCCATGGGAATGCAATATGAGTTGCTTGTGCGTGAAGGAACCTAAAATAATAATAAGATATATAGGAAATAGATCCCGAGATTTCTGTTTAAGAGAAGCCTTAATTACTCTAAATCTGTTGCTTTGCGATATCTGCTCCGATGTTCTTTCATCCAAATGGTTAGAGTCGGAGAGAAATGCGAAGAGTTGTGATCGCTTCTCTTCCTCTCACCTCCCTGATGAGATTGTGGAAGTTAGCATAGAGAAAGAGATGGCTTCTGCTCCGCTGTTGTGATCGTTTCTGAGATGTTGCGCTTTGACTTGGGTGTTACAACAAGAACGCTGTTAAATCTTGTTACGCAAAACCATGAAAGATGATGGCTTGTGCTCCGCTGTAGTTTGACTTCTTCGTTCTATGATCGTATGAAGGCGTGAGAGATGACTCTTCGTCATCACTTAAACTCAGCTCATCAAAGTTAGCAGATTTGATTCTTGGAGGAGAAGTTAGTGACTTGCGTTAAAAAATACTCCGACGTTGAAACTGGAGTGATGTGTGTAGCTTAGACTCGAGCATTAATTAAGGAAATCAACACACTAGTTCTTGATTTTGAACGTAGCAGTTGGTTTTCACATTGGTAGAGTTGCGTGTGTACAGGATTTTGGATACATATGGTTGACTTGTATCTCACTGTGTCAGCCATCATGAGCTCATGGGATACATTCGATGCTTCGTGGCCAAGTTGGTACTGCTGGTTAGTCATTCTAAGCATATGAGCGCTGAATATTCAAACTGGTGTGCACAAGGAATTGGACGTCAAACTTTGAACATCTCACCTACTTTACTCGAGCTTATGTCCAGGATGTTTTATAGTTGTTACTTTGACTTCTAACTTGCGTTCTGAGGCCGCAACGTGCGATAGGTTGCAACCAGTTGACTTTTGGTGATAATAGTGTTTATCGTCGTCGTTTTCAGAAGACTACACCCTCTCTGAAGAACACAGTCCACTAAAAATGAACGGAACGGAACAAATCTGTGGCTGTTTCGAAGCTGAAACGTGGCATTATACTGTACCGTCGGTGAAGAAGAAGGCAATGCTCGATGGACTGTTCTTATTTGAACGCCTTACATATGTTAGGCACCGAGATTTGGATAAGCACGTTGATGATGATATATGAGGGTGGAACCTCTTAATCGGTCGTGATTGCAACATCAAATGAATGTATGACTGGTCTGAGAGGTGCCGTAGCGTTGAACTTGTCGTTATAACGGAATGACGAGCGAGCGATACTGGAGATGATGGTATAGAACGAAGTAGATGTGATGAAACATCACAACTCGTCACCCAGTCCAAACCCCCCACCATCTCGGAAATTTCTGCGGTCTTCACGGCCATTGGTTCCCGGCGTGGAGTTTTCGCCGGGAGGACGAGAACAAAACTCCATCTATCATCATCGTTATTTTTATTTTGCTCATGCCGTCACGTGGTTGCGATGTGACCCACATCACAATCCGACATCCACCAGGTTGATAATACCAAGCCCCAAAATCCAACTTCGAGCTTCCACCGTCCGGTCTTGCCCCCAATCTTTCATTGGTCCTCGCTTGCTTCTGCAGGTTGTTCTGAGAAATTTCCCTCTCGGTCCCGGAGAGAGTCGCGGCTATAAAAGTCATCATCGAGAACCGAAACACGCAAGGATCAGAGCAGAGGCCACGAGGGAAGAACAACCCTAACCCAACTAAAAATTAACATGGTTTATCACTCCCTTTCGCGGGCGTGAAGGAGGAGGAGAGAAGAAACAGTAGATGGAGTCAATCTCCTCCGCCGCCTCTTCCTCTCGCCGTCCTGCCAGCTTCTTCACCCAAGCCAATGCTCTCCTTCGCAAGAATCTCACCTTCCAGGTTTCGCCTCTCTCTCTCTCTCTCTCTATCTGTCTCTCGGGGATGAATAAAGAATCAAGTCATGAAATGGATTGCAATTCGATGAACGGTTTTGTCTTATGTTATTTTTCTTCTTTCTTTCTTTGGATCATGCAAGTCTTTTAATTAACTGATTACTGTACTCATGTGCTCTTCCAAACCCCGCAGAAACGGAACCTGAAGACCAACATCGGGATCGTCGCGTTCCCCATCTTTATCTGCGTCCTGATCGTCCTCATTCAGCAAGTGATCAACAACGAGCTGAACAAGGATAAGTTCCAATGCGGGTGCCAGGGAGGCGACTGCGGCCTCCAGTACTCGACGCTGGATCAGGTCGACACTTGCCCCATTTCAAGCCCTCCTGAGTGGTCCGCTCTCATCCAAGTTCCTCGCCCCCAGTATCGCGCCGTCAGAACTGACTTTTCTCAATCTGCCGACTTGCCCGATGAGTCCTGCAGAGCTTCCCAGTCCTGTCCCGCGGCAGTGCTCCTCACTGGCGGTAACCGATCCCTCGCGCAAAGTATGTGATGCTCACCCGATGAATTTGTCTCTTTTGGCTGATGCCATCAAGCAACGATCTGCTACGAATGAATAACTTTGAACTTGATTCATCATTGATAGGTCTAGCGCAGAGTCTGTTTCTAAGCTCTTCCTCTGCGTTGAATTTCTCGGATTATCCCAGTAGTTTGTCGAATGTCATCCTCGTAATATTCTTCTCTCTTGTTTTTTTCTTTTTGTATATTTGACTCACCCACTTGAGTAAGTCCTTGGCTTGTTTGTTGTCGTTGTTCATAAATTGAGCCATTTTTACTCTTTCTTTGATCTTTAGGGGACGGATACACCTACCGAGAACACACAATTCATTGAACCAGCTTTTGTCTCTGACAGGCCCTTTTATGTAGTCCAACCGCAATGCACAACAAACGCAACAAGTCCAATTTCGTTTAAAAACGCCAACATATCGATTGAGCTAGGTAGGGATTTTTTTTCTTGCTTATGTACAAGGCTACCTAGTTTTCTTCGCATCACCTTTTCAAATTATAAATTTATCTGAGATATGGTTTATTTAAATTATTTCACTATGATGCAATTCTTATCTATAAACCTCACCTTTGTGGTTCTGTTTATATCGAAAACAATTTTATCTCAGCAGCCACATAGTATGTTAAAGAGGAACACTCTACTTTCTCCTCTTTTATACAACAGAAGAAAAGACAGGTCTTGTGCCCAAGAATATAGACAAGAAAATTGTTTGTGTGATGCTTACTTCATATCCTTGTCGATTGCTTGTATGTAACGTCTTGCTGATTTCTCAAAACTGAAGAAACAAGCTACTCACTAATTCTCTCTCACCAATTCACTCTTTTTTTTTTTTGAGGTGCCAAAATGAAGAACATACAACTTTAAGATCTAATTTTTATATCCTTGATATTTGAAAAATCATGATGCTCAACAGTATAAAATTTGTCAAGCCAAATACTGATGTCTGAAGAAATTAAAGAATTTTTCAAACACTTCTTTAGAGGAGCTAGCAGAAAAAACCTTATATACAAGCTTTCTGGCGCTTGCTAAGATATGAATGTAACCATCTCCTCACAACATGCATAGACTTATGCTCCTTATTCGTAATTAGGTTCATGATCCGTAGGTTAGTATTAGACCATTGTTTTTCTTACATAATGCCAATATTTATTTATTAGCTTTCTGAATTTTTTGATATCCTGTTTGATCACTATGAAATGAAGATTTGGAAGCACAATTGAAGTTCCTGTTTTAGCTAACGACCAAAAAAACGTATGGACACTTCCATTTATGTTTTGAGTTATTTTTTCCACAATAAAGTTTTATAGTTATTAAATTAAGTCAATCTACATTAGAAATTTATTTGGGATTTTTATCATGTTTCGTAAGTTACAAATAATAACACTGATGCAGGATATTATTTATAACTTATGAACTCGCATGCGATAGAAGTCTAATTGGAACAAAAAGTCTTTTTATGGCAAGAATTATCTTGTTGTGAAATTATAACCATCTTATCTTGTATAAAAACAACCGTCGAGTTTATGTATGGGAGGTCTCTTGAAGAACAGAACCACAAACAGTTGGTACATCTTCTCTTGTCTTTTTGCAGTATAGATGAAGATGGTCAAAGAGCCACATCATGAAAAAGTAAAGGGAAATAAAAATCAATGTACATTATTTTACATGATATTGGTGGAAAGGAGTTAATAAAGTGGAAAAATAATTTCAAAGATGCATTAGAATATTAGTTCTTGTGAGTAAATCTTAGAAAAATTACCATCATGTTCTTTCTGCAAACTTCAGTATTCGACATCTGAAACCTATAAAAATGTGGACTTTTGACTTAAACTAGGTTGGCTCTAAATTTTGCACAGAATGTCAAATAATAAAATCCATGCTTATTGGAACTTTTACAACCATTATTAAAAAGATGTGGTACAAGATTGTTTGAGGTTATATTCTCCAGATGCTTATATCAACACCTTTAAACTTTTGCTAAAATATGCTATGTTCTGAATCTTTAATTTTTGGAAATTGGTATAGGGTTAGAGTGTGTTCAAGGTTTGACTTTGTGGCGCGATAATTCATCATTGATAAATGATGAGTTGTTTAAGGGTTATCGACAGGGAAATTCAGAGAGGAAGGCAAATGAGTTCATTGCAGGTGATCTTCTTAAAGTTCTTGGTCTTCGGTTTTCTTTTCTTGGGGTTTGACTTCACTTGTTTATACCAATAATGATTTCTCTTGCAGCCTATGACTTCTTGAATTCTGACGAGAATGGTTTCAATTTAAACATTTGGTACAACTCAACCTATAATAATGACACTGGTTTTGTTGAAGTTGCATTGGTTCGTGTTCCTCGCACAGTGAATGCGGTATGTATGCTCACCGCTTTTGTAATCTCTGATATTTCAACTAGTCTGGTGGTATTTTAATTTCTACCAACTGATTTGCTTCTCATACAAGGAGTAAGTATAATAAAAAATCTACATGGTCACTCGAACTTTTTTGCTTGTTTCTTCTTGCTAAGAATGATAACTCACAATTCTAAAAGATTAAGAATGTCAGACTGACAGAATGTAAGTCATTGTGCGTGTGTGCGATGTTGTGTCAGTTGGAGAGTAGTTGGGTTTTTTATTTTTATATTTGCATTCTCATTGCTCCACTAAGATTGCTTCATTTATGATTGTCTCTATTTTTTTCTTTGTTTACTGGAGTAGTAGAAATTACCGTTAGTTTTTTTACATAATAATGGTGGTTATCCCTCGGATGGGGGACCTTTAATTATTTATACATATTAAGCAACCTCATCTTGAGAATTTTATCTGGATTATTGTTCCTAGATGCATCCAACTCCTAAGGAAACAAATGAAAGTGTAGCATGGAATTGACAATATTGCACCTACCATAAGACACCTGAGCAGTTATTCAAACTCCATAGTGGAAAGCATAATAAGTTTTCTATGGAATTTAATGTATTTAACTGAAGAGAACAGCAAAGACACCTTGCTTTTGGCCCTATGTTCGATTATTCTATTTTATTCTTTCTTCACTATTGAGTAAGGTGTTAATTTTGATTATACTATTCATCAAATACCTTTTCAGTGTATTTTTAATGTCTTCCAAGTTATGAATGAGATCAATATTTCACTGGATGTCTATATGTTGTAAAACCATTTAATCATTCGCCTGAAATTTGAGGGAGAAAATCTAGAGAGAGCTAGTTGGCTAACTTACAGTACTGGCCATATGTTAAGTGGATTATCAATTCTGTTTTGCACGCCTTGTGTGCTTTTCACATCATGTATATTTAACTGTCTATTTATGGCTTTGTGTCTAAATAATAAGAAGATAAAAATGAGGCTCACCTTGATGATCACTCCTAACACTAATTTATTCTTTTAGTTTATTCATTTTTGTTCCTGAATTAATATCAATATAGAATACATCATTATTATTTGATCTTTTACAAAACCATTCATCTTTGTGTTTTATAGGCCTCCAATGCCTACCTGAAGTTTCGAAAAGGTGCTGGTGCAATGGTAATGTTTGATTTTGTTAAAGAAATGCCAAAAACGGGAACAGACCGGAGGTTTGACTTTTCTTCTCTTCTTGGTCCATTATTCTTCACGTGGATCATTGAGCTACTCTTCCCAGTAAGTTTAATAAGACATAATGTGCATAATATAGATATACTAAAGTTATGTCCTTGTATGCCATAAATTTAGTGCAAACTGCTAAGTTTATGTGGTGCAACATGTCTTTGCATGGTATTTCTCTTCTTGGCAATTTGCTTATTCACATGTCATGGACTTCATTCTACGAATATCTGCGGAGTACCTTTGCTTAATCTACTCTTTTAAGATTCTGTTAACAATGGCTAAGTAAAGCTTTGTTTCTCATGTAGGTTATTCTCACATATGTTGTCTATGAGAGGCAACAAAAGTTAAGAATCATGATGAAAATGCATGGGCTAAAGGATGGACCTTACTGGTTCATATCGTACATTTATTTTTTCTCTCTATCATCAGTCTACATGATATGTTTTGTGATATTTGGCTCTATAATAGGTAACGTAAGCTGACATCTTCATTAGTTTGTGCATGAAAATAATAAGCTTTTTCTTAATTGGATAAACTTTCTCCTTCTCAGGGCTAAAATTTTTCAGATTGAATGACTACAGCATACAAGTTGTGTTCTATTTCATTTACATAAACTTGCAGATAGCACTGGCCTTTCTTATAGCACCTTTCTTTTCTGCTGTGAAAACTGCCACAGGTGAGAATTAAACGACTAAATGATTGATATAAAAAGAAATATATCTTGCTAAATCTTCTGATAGAAGTATATAGAAACCCGTTTTGATGATATGAAATCTGATGCTGCAGTGTTTGGTTACAATTATGTATTCGGTTCTGGCTTATTGGGAGAGTTCCTCTTGCGTTTTTTTATTGAAGATACCAGCTTCCCAAGTAAGTGAGAACATCACATGAAGTTCTTTCATATGATACAATCTTAAAGATATTTTGACCTGAAATTTTATGTTCAATCATATTTCAAGAAGAAGATTGTTTTTTTATTCTTTTGAGTTCTAAGAATTACAGAGAGGAGCTTTCTTTATTTTTCAGGAGGTTGGATTCTAGTCATGGAGCTTGTTCCTGGATTTTCCTTGTATCGTGGGCTATTTGAGTTTTCACAGTATTCTTTTAGTGGAGATTCTATGGGGACTTCTGGTATGAAGTGGGGAGATTTAGATGATAGTCAAAATGGGATGAAAGCTGTGTTGATTATAATGTTTGTTGAGTGGCTAGTTCTGCTTGTAGTTGCATTCTACTTGGATCAGTTAATAGGAGGTGGAATCAGGAAGGATCCTTTTTTTTTTCTACGCTATTTCCAGAAGAAGTCTTCAGTATCCCAAAGAAAGCCTAGTTTTCAGAGACAAGGATCCAAAGTTTTTGTTGAAATGGAGAGACCTGATGTTTCTCAAGAAGTAAGTTGCACTATTTGCCAGCATTGCCAGTCAACTATTTTGTTGTGCTCTGTTTTCATATATGAATAACCAGAAACAATTTGTCTGAATGTCAATAGATCAGAATTTAAAAAGTTCATTTCCCAGAAAAGCAAACCCTTCCTCTGTTCAATGTATGTCTTAGAATTTTTGCACATTATACAGACCATGCAGAATCAGAAATTTAGAAAAAAATTAATTTTTATGGATTGTTTAATAGAAAGAGGGCTTGTTAAATCTCAGTTTTTATTTTGAATTTCACACAATTATTTTAGTTTCAACTGAAAGCAACTGAAGGAGTGATTAAAATAATCTTGGTACTTGAACCTGAAGTATTAAAATATGTTGACTATTTTGTAAAGACAGACCATTGGTGATGGCAAAATGTGTTAGGTTCGCAAGTCTCAGGAAATGGATATCTTCTTTAAGTTAAACCTATGCTGGATTGTTATGTATTTCTAATTAACTCAAGAACTAGCTATCCAATTAAGGGTTAGTTATCTTAGATTATATTGCTTTTCTTAGAATTTGTAAGATATAAATGTCCAAAAATATCAGTCCACAACTTATTTTATTTGCTGATTACTTGTATTCTTTGGAATACGCTACCATGATCAGCCTAGTTATTTTTCTTTTATATCTTGCAGGTTGTGTTGTCTCTTAATATTGCATTTACCTGTCTTCTTTGACAACCCTTAATTAATTTTCATCATTCATTTAATGCCTTTATTCATGTCAGAGAGAAGTTGTGGAGCAACTGCTACTGGAATCCAGTTTTAGTCATGCAGTCATTTCTGATAATCTCAAAAAAGTCTACCCTGGACGGGATGGAAATCCAGACAAACTTGCAGTTCGAGGGCTGTCTCTTGCTTTACCTAATGGTGAATGTTTTGGCATGCTTGGCCCTAATGGTGCTGGAAAAACTACCTTTATCAATATGGTTAGTGGCAACTTTGTTCACTTAGGTTTTCTCTAAATGAACGCATTACATTGAGATGCTTACCTAGAGTTATTAACCTCATCAGTGACTGCATTATATCGACTTGGGTTTATCATCTCTTCCAAAAGTTAACTGGCAGTTGTTTGACATGCACATTCTTCTGTTAGTGATATGAAATCCATTTTCTTGAAAAGAAAGTTCATTCCACTTGTCTTTGCTGAATTTTTTGGTCCCTATAAAGGCAATTTTAGAATTGGAGAAGGTAAACTTTTAAGAATCCATCTAGAGTTTTTATATGATATTTAGATTGACTGCAATTTTTTTTCAATTGGAATGACTCTAAAATATGTTAGACCATTCAAAAATTGTCCTAACACCTGTATCCACAGATGATTGGGCTTATTACACCGACCTCCGGCACTGCTTATGTTCAGGGAGTGGACATAAGGACCAATATGGACGAAATTTACACAAGCATGGGTGTATGCCCACAGCATGAGTAAGAGCTCCAAATCTTAGGATTTCACAGTTTTAGAAGTTTCATGAAGAGAACTATTATCATCTTCAATCGAACCATTGTTAGTCTTATTAGTCGTCATTGTACTGTACAGCTTGCTTTGGGAGACATTAACTGGCAGAGAACATCTATTATTTTATGGTCGACTGAAAAACCTTAAAGGTGCTGCATTGCTGCAGGTATTGCATCATTATCAATCTGGTGTCTTATACCCGAGTTAAAATTTTGATTTTAGACATATGTTACTTACTGCTTTACATACAGAATTATTTTGAGAACTAAATAGATTTTCAGGTGCACCTTATGCACTTTAGCTGCTTATGTCTTGATCTATATGCCAACTTCTATTTCATCAGCTTCAGAAACACGGGGTAATCATCTTTTCCAACAAAGTAATAATAGGAGTGTCTAAACATATACATATTGCGGTTTTTAATAGGCAAATATGGTGAGAATGTTCATGAGTTCCACCAACATTTAACAATTAAAGGTTGGGAAACAAATGTTGTTTTTATTATTAATGGTAATTGAGCAAAATCGTCTAACTGGACATGATTGTTCATTAGTCCAACCAATCAAGTTTTAAAGTGAATATGAAAGAAGGTACCACGTAGTAACTGAATTAATCAATTTGCTTCCTATGTAAGGAACCTTTCTGTTTTAGTCTTCTTCCATGGAGCCATCTACATGTTGCTTATCAGCAAGTTCCCCTGGTCAAACAATGTCAAATATCTACAGTATCAAATATTTTAGTTGGGTAAAGAAAATATTTTGTATGGAACTAGCATCCTGCTTATTTTCAAAAATTTAGTAGTTCCTTGAAATGAGAATGAATTCCTTATATGATGAGGAAAGCGATGAGAACTATCACAAGAGAGAGATTAAAAAAAATGTTAGACATATGTTTGTACCTTAAAACAAATGCAGTTACGAGGTCATGGGACCTCGAAGGAGTTATTATGAATTTGTATCTTACGAGTATTTAGGTTTCTTAGAGTGCACCTGCATTGTGTAAATACAAATACTTCCCAGCATCTCTGTTTTATGATGCCCTTTTTCATTTCCTTACAGGCAGTTGATGAATCTTTGAAGAGTGTAAATTTGTTTTATGGTGGTGTTGGAGATAAACAAGCTGGAAAATATAGCGGTGGAATGAAAAGGAGGCTGAGTGTCGCAATTTCACTGATTGGTGATCCTAAGGTATATGTGTTGCTGATGATTTTAGACCTTTAAATTGAGTAGCAAATAAAACAAAATCATATAAGAAAAGTTTACAATTTGATATTATGTCAGGTCGTGTACATGGATGAACCAAGCACAGGACTAGACCCAGCATCAAGAAACAACTTATGGAATGTTGTGAAGAATGCAAAAAGAGACCGGGCAATTATACTCACAAGTATCAATATTTCCACCACATTTTTGCTGATGTCAAGTCTGGGCTCTAGCAAGAACAGACTATGATATATTATTGCATAAACATTTTTAGCTGATATATTGTCTTTTCCTAAATAATATAAAAATTAACTATTAACTTGTGCCAATAGTGCAGATTCAATCAACAATTTCATTGCATTTTTATTATTAGTTATTTCTATGCCAATAATCGTTTCTAATTGTTTTCAGCACACTCCATGGAGGAAGCCGAGGTATTGTGTGATCGTCTGGGCATCTTTGTTGATGGAGGTTTCCAGTGCATAGGAAATCCAAAGGAGGTAGGATAATATGCAATTTTATACATGAATGTTGGTGCTTTTTGCAAAACATGATTTTACAATTTTTACTGGGTGAGCCAAAGTTTGAGCTACATGATCAGTTAAACAAGTTGTTAACACACTTTTAACCTGGCAATACAAGTTTGAAATATTACACAAAGCCCATGTTTAAGGAGTAGGATGTACTAAAAAGATTTCCATTCACTGGTGTGTTATGGCAGCTCAAGGCTAGGTACGGTGGATCGTATGTCTTCACAATGACCACATCTGTAAACGAGGAAGAGGAGGTTGAAAGCTTAGTTCGGCAGCTATCTCCAAGTGCAAACAAGATATATCATATTTCTGGGACCCAAAAATTCGAGTTGCCCAAGCAGGAGGTCAGAATTGCTGATGTCTTCCGAGCAGTCGAGATCGCAAAGAGTAAATTCACGATTCACGCATGGGGTCTGGCTGACACCACATTGGAAGATGTCTTCATCAAAGTTGCCAAAGGCGCACAATCGTTGAATGTGCTTTCGTGATTCTCGCTGCAGCTGCCATCTATATCACCTTGCTCGATAATTTTGTATTCCGACTTCCTTAACGAATTCTTGCTGCTAAGTTATTTTACCTTTATGCTTTGATCATTCTATGATCCATATGTAGATAGATAGCATACGAATTCATGGAATGTGGATTAATATTTGTGGTTGATTATGAAATACTCAGAAGTAGAATAAGTTTTCATCGTCTGCAGCACTATTTTTATGTATATCTTGTCGTGAATCCTTTCAATACTATGCTGTGCTTCTTTTCATGTTATCATTTGTATTAGATGGTAGCAACCAGTCTCCAAATTGGACATTTTGCTGGTTCGCAGTTGAATCTAACTATAAAGCATATCTTTACGGATTGAATTTGACTATAAGGCATCCTTTCACTATGATACAATTAAATATGATCTTAAAATATCCCTCTACGATGATATAATTGAATCTGATGGTAAAATATCTCCTATCTCTAAAACGTTATCGATCCAAGACAAATGGGTAGGGTTACCCAACACCACCCATGCATCGTTGACCGACGCTTGCTTATCGTTGTTATCGAGATATACTGATTGGTCAATGCGTCAGGTTGTCATTTCGATAATGATGTGGTTGTCATCTAGTTTCAGAGTTCAGATTTGTCCGGCACCAAACGCCAGTGCGCATCCTTTCCTAGCGAACAAGCAAGAAGAAGGAAGACAGACACAGATTCATTTCTCATGCATTCATCCCTCACAATCCAATATAGAAAACCTATGCCAGCAAAGACCAAATAATTCCTTTAGTAGTATGATATTATATACAAAGGTGGTGGATAGATACGTCGATCGGACTTTATTAATCCAACTGTAGTAATCTAATATTATATAGAAGACACATCGTTCAGACTTTATTGATCCATCCAACCGGACGTCGTCGGAGAGAGGAACTTTCGTATATACCGTCGACCGAGAGAAGAAGAAGATATTTCTGGGGTTGGTGCGTGGTCCATGCATCGCATTAATTAGCGTTTGCTGTCAAAGCCTTTCGTGGTCCATCGAACAAGCAACAATGGATGTTGGGCTGCTGATGGATTCTCTCGTTACGAAGTTGCTGCGAGGCTGCATACAAAACTTGGAGGGCAGGCGAGTCTCCGTCACGGCTATCAGTTTTGTCGCGGCTATAAACACTCTATCCAGCTCATACAAGTGGTAAGAGTACGATTAGGAGGGGTTCTCCATTCCGAACCGAAGACGAATGCGATCAAAGAGTCGTATAACAATCGATTGATTTGATTTGATTGATTCTTCTTGCATTCCATTCATTATCATAGATTCTATTCGTGTGGTGATGAAATGCCGTGCCGGCGACTTTGTCTTTTAGATCTGATGCTGCATATATTGGCATGCCATTACACTCGGAATCTCAATCACGACCATTTCATCGTCATGTTAGCTGCTGACAGGTATAATCCGTTACGCGGATCTCTTGCATCGGTGGGAAAGATGTAAGGTTGGACCTCCACCTTCGATAATGAATCAATCGGATCGATTCATTAGTCAACGATATTCGTGACATCATTCGTTACAATGACATTGATCGACTAATCATGAACATTATTATTTTACAAAAACAAATCAAATTAAAAAAATTGATGGATACGTTTTTTAGATACGTTGTAATGGCATCGATCGATCAATCCTTTTTTTTTCTCTCTTTATATTATTATCTTTGTTTCTTTTTTATTATTTAATAATTATTTATACATGATAAAATAGGTTTCTCTCTCGAAACAGTTTTTTTCAAAAATTGATTGGTATTTAAATCTTTGAAAAAATATTACAAGGAAACTATTACATTTTAGTGAAAATGAGGAAAACTAAAGAAAATAGAAAAAAAATAAACTATTACAAAAGAAAATCACAGACTGTTCAAATGCTGTTAAAAATATAGAAAAACATGAAGAAAATAGAAAACACAAAGATTGTTAAGGCTCTAAAAGATAAAATAAAAATAAAAAAATTTATCTAAATTAGAAATTTTATTATAGCGATCCATCTGGTGGCAATTGAGAGCTTTTCTAAAAAAATCATATGATTTATATAACTCCTTTAGATCGATACTCTGATTTTGGGGTCCAATCAAAATCAAGATATCGTATACCATGAGTTAATTTTTGTGAATCATACGTTTATCATAGTTTGTTGACATATTTAAAAGCTAAAATGTCAAAACACAGAATCCATCGTGTTTTGTTGAAAATGAGAAAATAAAAAGATACTAAACTGTTCATAAACTGAATAAAAAAAAAAATATATATATATATTCTAAATTATAAAATTTATTATAGAGGTCCATCCGATTATAATTGAAAACTTTTTTAAATTTTTTTAATTTTGACTATAAACCTCTATAACATATTTTCTAATTTAGAGATTTATTTTTTTGATAATTTCTAGAATTTTTCAGAATTTGAATAGTTTGATGTTTACTTATTTTCTCCATCTTTTTTTTATTTTCACCAAAACATGATTTACAATATTTTTTGACATTTGAGTTTCTAAATATATCCATAAGCTATGGGAAAAAATTGGTTAAAAAAAAATTAAATCTTAGTATGTGATACCTTGATTTTGGTTTAGACCCCAAAATCGAAGTATCAACCCTAAGGAATAGTCCAAATATTATGAAATGTTCTGGAAAACTTTTAATTTCGACTATATTAACTCTATAACATATTTTTCTAATTTAGAGATTTATTTTTTTGATTTTTTTATTTTCTTTTTCAAAATATGAATAGTTTTTGTTTTCTTATTTTCTCTATTTTTTATTTTCACTAAACCATGATGCTTTTATTCAAGGTTGACATTTTAGCTTCTAAATATGTCTCTAAACTATGAAAAAAATTGATAAAAAAAATAAATCCTAGTATATGATGCCTTGACTTTGGTCCAAATGAGAAAATGTCTATGAGCTATAACATATTTTCTAATTTAGAGATTTTTTTTATACTTTTTAGATTTTTCAAAATATGAGTAGTATGATGTTTTTATTTTTTTCTTAATTTTTTATTTTCATCAAAATATGATGCTTTTATGTAATGGTTTTGAACATTTGAGTTTTTAAATATGTCCCTAAGATATGATAAAAAGGCTGATAAAAAAAAGTAAAATCATGATATACGATATCCTCATCTATTTAAACCTCAAAAATCAAAATATCAATTTCAAAGAATGGTCCAAATGCTATAAAAATTTTAGGAAAGCTTTCAATTTCGATCATATGGACCTTATAACATATTTTTATAATTTAAAGATTTTTGATATTTTTTAGGTTTTTTAAAAATCTAAATAGTTATTTTCTCCATCTTTTTAAAATTTTCACCATGATATATGTATGTAATATTTTTTTATAATTGTATTTTTAAATATATCCCTAAGCTATGATAAAAAGTTTATCAAAAAAGATTAAATCCTAATATACGATATCCTGATTTTGGTTAGACCCAAAATTAGAGTATCAACCTTAAGGAATGATCCAAATACTATGAAATTTTTAAGATAGTTTTTAGTTTTGACTATATGGATCTCCATAACATATTTTCTAATTTAGATTTTTAATATATTTTTTTTAATTTTTTTTATAATATAAAAATAGTTTAATATTTTCTTATTTTCTCTATTTTTTATTTCTACCAAAACATGATCTCTTTATGCAATGTTTTTGATATCTAAGCTTTTAGATATATCCTTAGACTATGGTAAAAGGTTGATAAAAAATTTAAAACATGATATATGATACCATGATTTTGGTTAGACCCCAAAATTCAAGTATCAATAATCTCAAAGAATGATCTAAATACTATAAAATTTTCAGAAAAACTTTTAATTTTTACCATATGGATCTCTAATTTAGAGTTTTTTTTTAGAATATGAATAGTTAGGTGTTTTTCTATTTTCTCTATCTTTTTCTTATTTTCACCAAAAACATGATTTTTTATGTAATGTTTTTTTTTCTTTCCCAAAGGTATGATAAAAATTAGGTCTAAAAAAATTAACTCTTTTGGTATCTGATAACCTAATTTGAACAATATTTCTTGTTTCATCAAACCAAATCAACAATGGACATTTTATTGTAACTTCTGAACAGTGTGTATGCTAGCTTGTGTTTATACATGAAAAACGTAACTGACGGATTTTTTTTAGGATTATTTTAGATACATGAAAAACATAAATTACATACATAAAAATTACAACTGATGGAGTATTTTGGGTTTCAAGTTTTCAACTCATGCAGGAAATTTTTTATAACTATGGTACAAATCATTATTGAGTAACTCCTTATTAGAAGTCGATGACGAAAGCGATAGAAGTCGATGGTGAGATGCATTGGAACTCGGTAGCATCATAAGAATTTGACGATGGTACAAGAGACTCGACGATAGTGATAGAAACCTTAAAACCTTAAAGCATAAGGAGCTGGAAAGGTGTACGCGAGTGAATATGAGCGTAAAAAAATTATCAATATCGAAGGTACATACTCATACATATTATCAATGTATGTATCAAGTAGATTCATGTTAAGCCAATTTTTTCTTTGGTTCAAGCTAATACGAACCAAATTGGTTCTATAAGAGTACACAGTTTGAAAAGACCACTCTATTAGCGAAAACCAAAGATGTAAGCTTTTTTTTTATTTTTTTTGAGAATTCGCCATAGAATTTTATTTCTTTCTATGTATATATATTCTCCTTGGAATATGATCCGAGGCATTGGTGTTTTACTATGGACCAATACTTGTATTCCGTGCAAAAGATTTGACTTGGTATAAGAAGAATAAACTTTAGGATTATACCCGAAGGGATAAAAATCATTAAAATGTTATAATAGTTAAAAATAGATTAAAAAAAATTTTGACAAATTTTTTTGAGAGGTATTTTAAATATTTTTAAAATTAAAAATGTTATTAGAAAAAAAAAATAAAAATAAAAGAGAAGATACTTTTGAAACACATTCAAGATATGAACATTTTATAGAAAAATCGCCCTTAAAATTTACATTCCATGCGACCCTAAAATCCATCAATCCGCATACGACGCCGTTTAGTTGCACCTGCTCATCTAAATCGCCGCGGTGTCATTCGTTGGCAGTCTTCGGAACATCCAAGGAGCCCTTCCTTCCCCCTTTGGTTTTCCGCCCCTATAATCCCCCCTTCTTCTGTCGTCGGGCGGCGCGATCCATCTTCTCTGCCAATTCGCTTTACAAGGCGAGGTAATTGGAGCCCTCCCCTCTTTCTCCTACTTCGTCTTGAAATAATACGCATCCGAGTCCCAATTGCCGTGTTCCTTAGGTTTGTCATCGCTCGGATCTCGTGTCTTCAGTAAATTTGATTTTGTATGGCTTTCTATTTGATCGGAAAGAATGCCTTCTCATTTCTAGTGCTTACGGAGGATTTTTGGAATTGCATCTCTGGGTTCAATCATCAATTGAATTTATAATTTAGTAATTTTGGTGAGAGGTAGGGTTTGACATGGGGCTATAACTCTTCTTTTGCTTTTGTATGAAGCGGAATATGCATCTTGGGTGCTTGACTATTCTTCTTCCTCCTTCCTTTGATATTTCCTCAATCTGTTGCCTAGGTTCGTGGTTCATGATTATTTTGTTCTCCAAACTTCTCTTGCTCACCATTTACCCCTTTCTTTTCTGTTCGCCCAAATTGTTTAAAGTGCCGGCAACCATTGGTCGGGCCTGGATTTTTTTTTTCTTGTGGGAATGGAAATTGAACATTTTCGCTGCGACTTGTATCACTTGCCCCCTGGTTGTAATATAGTTTTTTTGTATACATACATACATACAACATACATACATATGATGTGTTTATGTATGACTAGGAATTTATTGGCTGACACCACCTAGTGGATATCTGGATCTCCCACTTGGATGAGGTTGATGACTTGCAACGTTGACTTACCATGGGCCGTTGGTTCTTTAAATGTTCATCCTTCTTCGTTTCTTTATTCATCCAAATTTCGTCTTGATATTGTGATTTGCAGCCTCTGGCGTTCTGTTTTCTGACACAACTTTTCGTGGCAAAGGTGATTTCCTAATATCCTGATCTTTTCGATGACGCGACTTGTTTATATTATATCTGCAACTTAGGATCAATAACCTGATATGGTGCCTGCTATGGTACCGCCTACTTCTTAGAGAGTCTTTCTGGGAATCAGGATTTTGGATTTTACTTGTTCTCAAGGGCTGTTCTTGCAGATTTGAATTAAATATCTTTTAGAAGCACCTATATTCTTGTTCTTATTTGTTATCCAGTGATCGTATAAAAATAGTTGGTGCTATGTTTTATGTTTATGATGTTCAGAATTTTATTTTTGTTTCTGTGCTGTTAGCCACAGTAAATACCTAGAATTCGACGTGACCTGACTTAATGTTGCTGCATAATTTTTTCAGTTTCCCCCTCCCTTTTGCTGTTGTTGTAATTTGCAGATTCAATGCTTTGATCTTGTGTCAATGCTTGAAGATACTTTAAACAACATCATTCTTTTCAAACAACAATATGCGATTGTTGGATAGGGGATCCATGCAGGCTTCCGAGTGGCCATGTCTTGAGTTACTCGATTTGAATTTTTTTCACTTAGTTTATGAATCACACCCAGGCATAATGTGACATTGACCCTGTGAATGTTTCTGACACAGTAACATTATTTATGTAAGTTAGATTGGATGAGTTTCTGGATTGTTAAAGGTACAGAATTCCTTGTAGAACAAGAGTTAAGTTCATCTGAACAATTTTTTGACTTTCTGCTTGTTAACTTGACTGAGTAAATCCACTGTGAAGTTACTTGCGTTGCTTTGCACAGGAAGGACAACATGCTTGTTTTGACTTTATTAGCATTAAGATAGCTAATTACTGGTTAATATAGGTTAATCCTGTTTCATACAATTTTCTTATACAGAGAAAGAAATGGGGCAAGCTCTGGGTTGTGTACAAGTGGACCAGTCAACTGTTGCCGTTAGAGAAACTTTTGGAAAGTTTGATGAGATTCTTGAACCTGGGTGTCATTTCTTGCCCTGGTGTATAGGGAGGCAAATTGCTGGGTATCTTTCACTGCGTGTGCAGCAACTTGATGTCCGTTGTGAAACAAAGACAAAGGTTTGTGGCCCTGAACTTCATTCTTTGCTTATCTGTGTTTGTCATTTAATAGGAATAATTTTCAGTTAATTTGAGCTATTCTACGTGCACATTACTTTTAAAGTACTCATATGTGTCATTTTTCTTACTTCTTTCTATCTCCTATTATGATCTTTAATTAATGCTGGATATAAATGTTTCTGTTGTAGCTACTATATCCATTATGATTCTTGTGGTGCTTCAGGATAACGTGTTTGTCACCGTTGTTGCGTCTGTTCAATACCGTGCTCTCGCTGGGAAGGCATCTGATGCTTTCTACAGGCTTAGCAACACAAGAGAACAAATTCAATCCTATGTTTTCGATGGTAAGTTTACATAGTTTGACGATTGAGCTATTATTCAATACACCAACTCATATTCTTTCAAATAATTTCTGATACCATATTACTAATTGTATAAGAATTGATCATGAAGTGTCCTGATTGCTTGAGCTAGTCTTTCATTTGTCGAGATAATTTGTTCTGATTGTAACATACGATAATCTGTGGCAATGATGTTAGTACTGATGCTATCTATATATGCAAGGGCTTGGAGACTCAATTGATTCGATCTTCTAGTACTCCTGCTGTATATCCAAGGGGCTTGAATATATATGATTTTGCACTATTAATTGTTTTATGTATGAAATGATATGGAATACATGGAGAAGATTTTCTTTCTTAGCTCTCATCAGTTATTACCATGTGATAACTTTACGGCCCCATCAATATTTATACTTCGTTACTTCCCTAGGAAAATTAACATGGTAGCTTATTTTATGACAAATTTCAGTACACCCAAGCTTATCAGTTGATGCTAGTGATTTTTGGACTCAACCTTTCAATTCAAAATATCTACCAAACTGCTAAGTCAAACACCTACAATTTTTTTGTATAAATGGGATGTTATGGTATAAGATCAATTGTTAAGTAGGTATTTTAGCACTTGGGACACTAGGAAGCTAGTGGAGCATTTGCAATTTCTTCAGTCTGTGGCTGATGAAAATGTTCAGATATGAATACTCCACTAGAATCATGGATAGTGCTTTTCTCATGCTATCTACTGTCTAACGAATGTACACTTGTCACTTTCATGATTTTAGATTATAGACAAGGTACATGTGTGAAGGTTTTTATCAGATGTGTTCATTTCACAACCACTTGACATCGTGGAGGCAGGTCACTTGCATTGATAAAATTGGCTGTTTCTGGATGGAAGGCTTATGACGAGAGGAGTTTTAATATCAATGTTTCTAAGAAGCGTAAGAATTGCAAATAGCAATCTAGCTTGTAAGAACACGCATTATCATCCATTTATAATGATGTGTCAAAAACAAAGAAAATACATGTAATGAAAGTCAAAATGGAGTTATAAAAACCATATCACAGAAACAGTATGAACATCTTATTTTCTGTCCTCTCTTGTTGCATCATATGTCAATAAGCATAGCTTTGTATCTTGAGTCTTTTTGAACTTTTCCTTCCCATTCTCAATACCCTTTGGACTTTGCTTTTCGGGCTGCTGATGCCAGTCCTTAGTGGTCATGTTCATAATTTTTTTGCTGGACAAGGAATACTCATTCAAGTTATTCCATTGACCAAAAAGTGAATCGTTATTATATCTGAAACTTGAAATTTGATTCTGTGAATAATTTAAGTATTTGCTGATTTTCAGTCATCAGGGCTAGTGTTCCAAAGCTGAACTTGGATGATGCATTTGAACAGAAGAATGATATTGCTAAAGCTGTAGAAGATGAGCTTGAAAAGGCAGTCCATGCTTGTTAATGAGTAATTGAGTATATCTCACTCTTTCATACTTTACTGACATGATTTCTCTGCATATAGGCAATGTCAATGTATGGGTATGAGATTGTTCAAACCTTGATTGTGGATATTGAACCTGATGAACATGTCAAGAGGGCAATGAATGAGATTAATGCAGGCAAGTGGTTTATAGTTTGGAGTGTTGATGAACCCTAGTTTTCGTGGCATTCTCTGACTAATTACTCCAGTAAATATGTGCTTTGCATCTATTATACTGTACATTTATTGTTGTTGTTATTATTATTATAACTAATGTCCTTTATGTTTTTATTTTTAATTCATTACACCAGCTGCTCGGCTGCGGGTGGCAGCTAATGAGAAAGCTGAAGCTGAAAAGATACTGCAGATCAAACGAGCAGAAGGAGATGCGGAATCGAAGTACTTGGCCGGATTAGGTATAGCAAGACAACGCCAGGCCATTGTGGATGGCCTGAGAGATAGCGTGCTTGCTTTCTCAGTAAATGTACCAGGAACAACAGCCAAGGATGTCATGGACATGGTCTTAGTGACGCAATACTTTGATACCATGAAGGAGATTGGAGCCTCCTCGAAGTCCTCTTCTGTGTTCATCCCCCATGGGCCCGGAGCTGTGAGAGACATTGCTACTCAGATCAGGGATGGCCTTCTTCAAGCCAATACACTTCAGTAAGAGGAAGAAGGAGACACGGGTCCATGTTCCGGAGACTTTGCCATAATGTTTGGGTATTTAAACCTTTTAAGTAGTGTTTGATTTAAGTGTGCCGTGGATGTATAAATAATGCAGCAGTTAATATCTGTGTCTGTGGTGTCAATAAGTTTCTTGTTAGGGTATACGAGTGTATTGGTCTATTATGCTCTTAGCAATGAATGCCTTGTGAATTTGGTTCTGTAGATATCAACTTGCTTTCTGTGTAATTACTAAAGCCAGATATGTCGTTAGTTACGGTGATCTGATCTGACGACATCACCGGGCAGAGTTGAAAGTCCCGGTGCTGGTTGTCAGACCTGGGAATCATTCTATTCAACTGCACTTTTGGAACATTTATTATTTTTAGTCATCTCGGAGGTACTGATTTGGTCGCGAAGAGATTCAGGCGTCATCTTATCAAGCACTAATCGAGCCACTCCAAATCCGTGACTTCAGTGGTGTAAAAAATAAACCCTCAAATAAGGTTTGACATATCAAATCGTACCATCGGGCGGTACGTACCGATCCAACAGGTCAACGGTACACGGATTGCCCGGTATCGATCTGTACTGTAGCATTACACTGTAGCAGTACTATAGTATCCCTAATACACTGTAGCACTACACTCAGGTGTACCGCTCGATATATCGTATCGTATCAGTACCGAATTCATCTCGAAATACCGATACGATACGATATTACGAACCTTGTCGAGCTATAACTTGGATGCGAGTGAGGTATCAGAGAGAAATGGAAAAGGCCAATGCTACTGTGAGGTGTTTCTCTTATTCTTCCTTCCTTTACAGCTGTGTCTGTCTATACATGTAGTAGGTTGTTAATTCAACAAAGTTCCGGCTGTATACACGTAGGTTCGGAATTTAAAACCATTATAGTAGAGCTACATTCCGGAAGGCCGGTAGCCGATGATGGCGTGAACTGGAGTCGTAACCCAAACGCACATCGTTCCGCACCTGGAGGCAGCTAGCTTGCTAATCATCTTCAACTCAGCCAGCCAAGCCATGTTGATAGTCTGCAAGCCAGCAGCTACATGGGGGGTGATAGAAGCATCATGCCCTACCTGCTTACTTTCCATGTTCAACCATCGTTTTTCAATCATATGATTGCGACCGCATCTGGAATATTATTATTTTCCACGAAGTCTCATTCGATTGGTTTCCATTCAACACCTGACATTTCCCTTGCAAAATCCAAGTCACCCCTGTGAACATGCCAAGGGTGACATCTCGTGCCACGTGGCCTCCTCTGACCCGACATCTGACGCGTGATTCCGGCGAGAACTCGTGCCAAATAAATATAATTTATAAAAAACAAAATTCAATTTCCATCTCGTGATCCGACGGCTCGGATGACGGTACCCGGCGCCCAACGGCTGATGTCGCTCTAGGCCGACCCAATCCCTCTCGTGAGTCGTTGGATCATTTTCTTTGTTCCCACAACGGATTAGGGCTCCAACCGATTGGGCGTGCCTCCCCACCCTCCTCCCTCCGCGCATCCCTCCCACCATTTATCTGTCGTTCGGTCTCTAATTCATTCGGGAAAGCGCCGTCTTCTCTCTCTCTCTCTCTCTCTCTCTTCTGTAATCTTCTTTCCGCCGTTTGATATCGATCGAGGGAAGATGGGTCCAGGTCTCTACTCCGAGATCGGCAAGAAGGCCCGAGGTAGTTCGCCTTTTCTTTTTATTTCTCTCCCATCATTTTTCGTTTTTCTTTTGACGGAAATCTTCGAATTTTTCTCCCAGATCTTCTTTACAGGGACTATCAGACGGATCACAAGTTCACCGTCACCACCTGTACCTCAAATGGAGTCGTGAGTGATTGTCTTCTTTTCTTTTCCTCTTTTTTTTTTTTCCCTTTTTGTGTCCGATGCTAGTAGTGTGGTTGTGTCGTTGAAAAATGGATTTGACGCCGTTCGCTTCTGATTGTCTTCTAAATTTCTTTTCCTCGGATCAGTGGATGGTCCATTTGCAGCTCGTCAGTTGTTTAGTTATGTGGTGGTGAGTCAATCTCGAACTCACGTAGACGGCTCTCTGGTTTTCGTTTTCTTTTTCTTTTTTTCCTTTGTAATCTTCCAATCTATGACCGAAAGAGTGTGGATGGCTTATTTCCTTTTACCCATTTTTTTGGTTTGTCTAGTGGACTCCATTTAAGGGAGATTCTACTTGCGAGAATTAAGAATACGACGCAGGAAAATGCACTTGGTTTTTTTTCAGTCTATGTGCAAGTCCTAAGAGGATCTTTTTGAGGTCAGGAGTATTAGTAACTGTGTCTGCAACTGTATATCCATTGCTGCTGTGTGATGTTTGGTTAAGGTACTTACATCAGAGCACTGGAGCTCTTATCCTTGTTTTGATCGCATTAGACTCTAGGGTGGTACGTTCGACTCTTTCTCTAAAGTAAGGTGCTTAACAATCAACAGAAATTGTATTGCCCTCAACATAGCTCGTCTGGGAAAAGATACATGTTAACACTCCGGCTGTTCTTGTAGTTATCTTATGTGGAACTGTGACCTCTTTTCTTTTTGTGGAAGCGATGACTAGGTTTTTTTGGCAAAGTTACTGGAATGATCACATTTGGATCAGAATATAATTATAGTGATGAATTATAAGTCCTTTTTCGCATGACCGGTATTCTTTTCTGGATAGTTGGGACCTTATGATTTGTTATTTTATCTTGATTGTTAGTGACTTATTCCGACCAAATGCCATATATGGATGTATTTTCTGCAGTTGGATGTGGAGTCAGAAAAGTATTGGAACATTTTGGAATTTAATTGGTCTGTTATATGGCTGGAACTGAAATCTCAAAGTGCAGAGATATTTTTAAGTGTAAGAACCCTCAGTGGCAATGTAGCAGCTTAAGCCACATGGTCATTTTTTTTTTTAGAATAGCATGTATTGTGAATGCTGATGAGAGTTGACAGACTTAAACGTCTCTCGGATGCCAATGAGGCCTGTGAAAATGATGGTTTGATTTAGAAAGTCGCTGCTGAAGCAGACGGAAAGGACACATAATATTGAATCTATTAATGAAGAAGTATGAGGTGAAGAGCATGAGGGTGAGTGACCCAACATCTGATGTTCTATCTCTATTGGCAGTATAGAAAGACACTTCACAAGATGGAGTGATGGACGAACTACAGTTATTCCAGTTTAGTCTCATGATCCAATGTCTGACCCTTTTTGAGGACAAGAGAATTGAGACTAAATTATCTAGTGGCAACCTTATGACTGAGTTAATTTTTCAGGTAACTAACCCAATATATACCTTGTTCTTGAGGTATATGCCTCTTAGGTAGACTTCTAGTGTTCTGTAGCATGATAAAACCCTATTGCTCCTGGACAGACTTTCTTTGGGTATGTGATTATGTTACCATGTTTTCTTTGTTGCTGGCTGGATATAGTATTTTCTTTTTTTACTCTTTGGTATTTTTAATTCAATTTTGTAGAGACTAGGCCTCGCAGTCATGATATTCTTCTGCTTATCCGTGATTTGTCTGCTCATATAACGAATGTAGTTTAGTTTGTGGGTTTGTTGTCAACTTTACTAAATTTGATGCTTTCTTGTGTATTGCTACATCTATCATAAGTTGTTTCATGATTACCATCGTTTTCTTTTGGCACATGACATGGAGTATGAACAATTTTTTATTTGGCTTTCTATATGATCTCATGAAGCAGGGTACAATAAATAATCGTCTTTGTTGGCATGTATTAGTTACAATATGTTCAGATGGACAACGAGCTTGAGTTGACCTTTGATTCATGTTGGTTCATTCTAGATTGGTTTTACTAGTTCATACTCAAGATTTACTAGATATGTAGATTACTAAAGCCGTTGTTCTTTACTTCTTCAGAGTTCTTTAAAAAATGTAACAAACCAAATAAATGTAAAATTGTTGACAACATGTGATGGTTCCTATCCTAATATAAATTTTTGATGAAACAATGGTCAGGAGAGATCTATATAACCAGCCCAAATAGTTGGGATCTTACGGTGTCTTGTTGTTACTGATCTAGGAAGCATGTCACATCGAGAATTTTCGTTGGTTCAATCACTTTAGATATGGAGGGTTTTGCTGGTGGTCATTTTATTGGTGTTTTTGAAGCAGTGCACTCTATGCTTACTAGAACGGGTTTTGCAGATATAACTTTTTCCCTCATTCTATCACTCTGTCCATATATCTGTGATTTTGTTACAGTAATAAGGTAAAAGAAATTTGAATATTTTTTAGTTTAGCAATTGGTGTTTAACTTGTGATAAAATAATAAGGAGAAATGTTCCCCGTTCAGCAACGACGCCCTCATTAGTGCTACAATATAATGGTGTTTTTGAAGCAGTGGTAAATTTATTGGTGTTTTTGAAGCAGTGCACTCTATGCTTTCTAGAATGGGTTTTGCAGATATTACTTTTTCCCTCATTCTACCACTCTGTCTATATATCTGTGATCTTGTTACGGTAAGGTAAAAGAAATTTGATTTTTTTTAGTTTAGCTATTGGTATTTAGCTTGTGATGAAATAATAAGGAAAAATGTTCCCCATCAGCAATGACACCCTCTTTAGTGCTACAATAGAATGGACAATACATAGGAAGCCTTTGGCTCCATTTAATTGTACAACGAACTATTTAATATATCAAACAGAAAGGTGCAGGCCTAAAACACATGACGCCCTCTTTAGTGCTACAATATAATGGACAATACATAGGAAGCCTTTGGCTCCATTTAAATGTACAACGAACTATTTAATATATCAAACAGAAAGGTGCAGGCCTAAAACATTTTAACAAAGGGTTGACACCATGTTTCTCTGATTTGGTTGCTACATGAGAGATACAGGCTTGAGCGTGTGCTGACTGTCCATGGTATGTTTGGAAAAGAAAACTCAATGATACTTGATACTTTTAACAGTTTGTCTTCATAGTTGAAGATTCTCTAATTGGTTTCTATATCTACTACTCCCAGTTTATGATATATATATATATATATATATATATATATATATATATATATATATATATATATATATATATATATATAAGTCTATTTTTTCTAGAAATTTGTTTCTCTAATTGTTTGATCTTTATACTGCTGCAGGCAATTACGGCTACAGGTACAAGGAAGAATGACTTAATTTTTGGTGAGATCCAGTCCCAGATTAAGAACAAGAATGTCACCTTTGATGTGAAAACAAATTCAGATTCAAATGTAGGCCTTCTTTCCTTTCCTTGGTGAATTAGCTTTTAGTTAGTGTTTGAAGCCTAAGGCTTATACATGTAATAGTCCCTTAAATCTTTGAGTTCAATATCAATTCGTTAATAGTTTTTGTTCAATTGTTGGAAATGTTGGCAATGGTGCATTCAGTTTCTTATGCTTATTAAGCACATGTTAAAGGCACCTATGGAAATAACATTGACCATTACTCTTAATGAGCAGATTTTTGTTTACTGTATTATTCTTATATTTTGTATCTCATTTATAGTAGATTCTTCTTTCAAATATCCAATGGTTTTTTTGTCCTCTAGCCGTTGATCTGAAGTTCAATAATATTGTATCAATCTTTACAATCTACAACAGATTGTTGAAAACTTGAAATTACAATTTAAAATTTTGTGTTTCAAATGCATTGATATGAAGTTGGGATGATTGGTTATACTAATAGGAGGGTTTGGATCTTTTCCTGCATGTAAAGAATCATAGGGGCCTTAAAATTCAAGGCGGGACTAGAGTTGAGAACTTCATATAGGAGAACTAAAAAGGGGCATCGTTAGCATTTTTTTTACATTTTAATAATGGCTTTTAGGAGGTAAAAAGAGCTAAATCTTTAAACAAAATATTTTGTTATTCTTTGAGATTAATACTTCTAGTTCATGGAAGGACCTATGTGCACTATGTCTAAGCTTTTAGCGATACATATGCTAATATGAATATTTGGATGGATTTAGTGGATCCATGTGCTTCAGTCACTAATATGTAAAACATCTTTGTCTATTGTCATATCACTATAAATAGTGCTATTTTGCTTTTCTTTGAGATTATTACTTCTAGTTCACGGAAGGACCTAAGTGCACAATGTCTAAGATTTTAGTGATACATACGCTAATATGAATATTTGGATGGATTTAGTGGACAGTTCCATGTGCTTCAGTCACTAATATGTAAAACATCTTTGTCTATTGTCATATCATTATAAATAGTGTTATTTTGCATGATTCCATGATTTACTGACAACTGCAGTTTTATTTATAAGATAATTTTAATAAAATACATGATGCAACCAAGTCAATGATAATCGAACACATGGTTTGCTATTATCCTGGAAAAGTCATTTGTAGGTCTGGATGGTACTAATCTATTTTCGAGTCAATTGCATTTAGTGCATATCTGCCAGGAGACAATGTACTGATTCCTTGTACATATGAATTCTTTCTGCTTCCAGATGGTGATAAAAACATTTGTTGTGGTATTTGCTAGGTTACAACTACAGTTACTGTTGATGAACTTGCCACCCCAGGATTGAAGACGATTTTCAGTTTTGTTATTCCAGACCAGAGGTCTGGCAAGGTATGTAAAAGTATTCAGTTTTTGTCGGGGAAGATATGTCAGTATAGTTATATCTTTTAGCTAAATTGTTTTATTTACCATGTTTGCAGGTTGAGCTTCAGTACTTGCATGACTATGCAGGGGTTAATGCTAGTATTGGATTGACTGCCAATCCTGTGGTTAACCTTTCTGGCGTGGTTGGATCTAAGAACGTCTCAGTTGGTGCTGATGTAGCATTTGATACTGCAACTGGTAATTTTATCAAGTACAATGCTGGTTTGAGCATCACTAATACAGATCTTATTGCTTCACTTACTCTGTAAGTAGTTTTTCTAAGTTTCAGCAAATAGAGATTCTCTGCAAAATTTGCCAATTGTCTCTAATGACAAAGTCAGATTCTAAGCATGGTCTAGTCTATATATTAACAAAATTTGAATGTTATTGGCATGCAGGAATAACAAGGGAGATAGCTTGAGTGCTTCCTATTACCACTTGGTTAACCCTTTGTCAAGTACAGCAGTTGGTGCAGAGCTGAACCATAGTTTCTCGAGCAATGAGAACACACTCACCTTTGGTACGCAGCACGCACTGGACCCCCTGACTACAGCGAAGGCACGCTTCAACAATTATGGCAAGGCTAGTGCACTCATCCAGCATGAATGGAAACCCAAATCATTTTTGACCATCTCAGGAGAGGTTGACACCAAGGCCATTGAAAACAGTTCAAAAATAGGCTTGTCCTTGGTGCTCAGGCCATGAAAGAGTCTTGGGTATTATTTGCTGTGTGCCTCCGTTTCATACTCGAGTGGAATAAGTTGAGAAAAGATGGTGGCCTGGAGGTGTGGCAGTGTCGTTAACTTGAGTTATTGTCTTTCTTGCTGGTACTTGTTTTGGCAGTTCAAATGGAGGCTTTGGCTCTCCACTTGCTTTGATACTAGTCTGCAACAATAATTCTTATTCGGCGACTGGGGCCTGATCCCGACCTGCTCACTTTTAATTTTCTTCCCAGATGTAAACTGGTTCAGAGCAGAGACTAACGTCAAACTGTTTTCGCTTGATGCCTTGTCACAAGCATTATTATGTCCTGCTTTGTCGTTTCCTTAAAATTATGCCATTGCTTGTTTATGGTGACTGTTGTCTAAAACTTTTTTGAGCCAGCATGACTTTTGTAGTTAAGGGTGGGCTAATTTTCTATCCTCGAGTGAGGTTTGAGGATTTTCAGCCCGTGATATCTTGTGCGTGCACATTCCTCCTTGCATGATTAGTTTCTTTCAATTAATCATATGTTTACCTGTCGGTCGAGAGATCTACATCACTCTTTACCCATGGAAATACAACCTTGCTTATCATTTATTAAGAAAGATAATCAAGTCTTTTTTCTCATTTTTTAAAATATAAAAATATATTTTGAATAGAGAGAAATTTGTTTTTTCAAACTATAAAAATGAGGATATGCAATGAGTAACTTTAGCATTGGATGGATCGTGCTAGAAAATCTCTTTAGGAGGATAACATTCTCTTTAGGCGAACCAACTCGAGTTGCCTCGCTCGAGACTTGAGTTGGCCTCTCTTAACATAATGAGAACTGAGATCTTTTTATATATTAAGAAAAAATGATTCTTAAAGGACATTTAATCGTTGAAGACACTATTGGAAAGGAGAGATGGATCTAAGTATTATTGCCTTCATCATGACTATGTCCATGACACAGAAGACTATTGTGATTTGAAGGAGTAAATCAAGGAGCTTATTTGTCGAGGGCACCTTGAGAGATTCGTCTAGAGACCTCAGAAACCTTCATCTCGACCTCAGGGTCTAGTGGAGAGACAAATCAATATCATTATCGGGGGACCTGTCTCAGACAACACCTCATGTTGCAAAGACTATGCCCGAGCTACCATCGAGAAGCGCCTGAGGTCAAAAAACTACTCAGAAATAACCTGTAAGGGAAATGATAGCACTAGCGACTTGGACACGATTATACAAGTGCCATATAATCATGTCAGAAGTCGCCATGATCATGTCCAAGGTGCCATGATCGTGTCCAAGTTGCAAGTGTTATCATTTCTCTCACATAAATGATAGGGTATCTATCATCAATTGACACATGGTTGTCACGTGAGATCTAAATCATCTTGTACTTGTATGCTTATATGGACGAAGATTCAATACAAGGAAAATCAATCTTCCTTCTCGTTCACTATGACAAAGAAGGCAATCATAATCTTTCTTTTCTTCCTTTATGATAAGAAAGACAATCCGAATCTTCTTTCTCATCATTTAAGGTATAAAAATATATTCCAAATAGGGGGAAGCTCTCTTATTTTTGAACTATAAAAACCCATATTTGGGGGACCTTAGATGACTAACTTGAGCGTCGGAGGGGCCAGGTCAGGGAACCTCTCCTAACCTTAGTCTTTGTATAAGTGTTGGCACCCTAGGAGCATGATATTTCTCCATTGGTGATACTTTGGACAATTCTATGCACACAGGTCCGGACCATGTTAGATTGACGTAGATGTCAATAATATTTTTCCTTTAACATTTTGGTACTAAAAGGAGGGTTGAATATCGTATGAACATTCACCCCCCAATCCTCTCAACGAATGCTCCAGCAAAGAGGCTTTGCTTTCAACCCATAACATTTTTACTCAGGAGGGGTAACTGCCATCCTTCCCATATGTGGATATATCCATCTCAATGCAGGTGCCGACGGGGCACTAGCGCTTAATTAATGACCTTAGAACTTTACCCTTAGGGATGAACTCGAGCCACTTGCTTGTCCCTATCGAGCTATTCCTAAATCTCACCCATTAAGTGCAGATGCTCACAAGCATGTTGTAGGCCATCACCTCACTATTGCCTGAGCTAGCCTAATAAGCGCTGCCACCATTGACACATTAATGGCCATTGGCACTAGCACATGGCAGAATTCGCCCCCCCCCCCCGGATTGATATGATACTAGCATCTTATGATCACCTAAGGTTTGCAAGACCGCTAGCCAAAGGAGCCTGCTGCTCCTAATCTGAGACTCAATTAGTGAATTCAACGAATGACTCCTTGAGGGTCTAGTTAAGGCAAATGGACCAATGCCTAGATGAAATGTAATAGGAGTTCCAATAGTCCACTAGGAGAATTAAGCCAATTTCACCTTGGGTCGATCCTCATTCATCTAGAACATCCAAGAGGAACAAATCTCAACCAACTTCCACCTCCTATTGTTGGAAACTTTTGACAACAGTACTGACTTAGTTGAACACATTACCGACTTCTGCACCCAAATGTCTCCCTATGGCACCTCGGACGCTTTGATATGCCATGTGTTCCCAACAACACTGAGAGGCATGGTGCAGGACTGGTACACTCGTCTAAAGCCACTCTTAGTCAACTCCTTCACTTAGCTCGCAAAGAAGTTCAAATTCTGCTTCCTCGGGAATGTATGCCTGAGGCTATTACCGACAATGTTGCTATGACTAAAGTAAGGAGAGGAAGAGATACTCTTCGACTTTGTTGCTCGGTTCGCCAATGAGGTCCAAGGCATGCAAGAAGCCCATCTATTACACAAAATTCAAGCCTTCATGATGGGGCTTAGGTTCTCTCAACTTTAATGGTCATTAGTGGAAAGGCCACCAGTAACCATCCCCAAGGTCCTCCAAAAGGCTAACCAATTCATCACCGTTGAGGTGATAATCTTAAGTAAGTACGAGAAGACATGTAAAAGACTATGACAAGAGTGATCACCGTTGGTTCTAACCCTGAGGTTACCTCAGCAAAGAAAATAAGACCGACCTAAGCTACCTCGCTTGAGACCTGAGTTGACCCCTCTTAATATGATGATAAGTAAGGAGTTCGTATAGATAAAGAAAAAAATAATTCTTAAAGGACCTTCAATCGATGAGGACACTATTGGAAAGGAGAGACAAATCCAAGTATTATTGCTTTCACCATGATAATGGCCACGACACGAAAGATTGTCATGATTTGAAGGAGCAAATTGAGAAGCTCATTGTCATAAGAAACCTCACGAGATTCATATGAAAATCTCGAAAACCTTCGCCACAACCTTAGGGTCCGATAGAGAGACAGATTGACATCATCATCGGGGGATTTACCATGGGAGGGGACAATACCTTAGGTTACAAAGCCTATGCTCGAGCTACCATTGATAAGCACCCGAGGTCAGAAGATGACTCAAAAATAACCTTCAAGTACGAAGAGATGAAATACCTCGACTCAAATCATGATGATGCCATAGTGGTATCTATAAGAATGATTAACGCTTGAGTAAAGAGGGTTACGATCAACATAGGTAGCTCCATTGATATTCTCTACTTTGATAATTTTTAAAAACTTAGGCTCTCAGCTAATGATATTACTTCTATGACTTTTTCGTTGACGACGTTAATGAGCAACTTTATCTCTCCTCTCGAGACCATGAGCCTGCATATCACGTTTGTGATAAATCCTGCTCCTAAATGTGATAACCAAGTCTATGATAGTTGACATCCCCTCAATATAAAATGCGATCATAAGCCAACCCACACTCAACAAGCTGACGGTTGTGGTGTCAACCTATCACATGGTGATGAAGTTCTCAATAATAATTAATATTATGGATCTAAGTGGTGATATGAAGGAGTCTCGTTAATGCTATCTAATGACAGTTTCCTTATTGAAGAAGGCCCAACCCGAGGCACTACTGATGGACCCCCAAGATTTCACTAAACTCTTTACACATCTAGAACCAATGGAGATACTGGTCAAAAAACCTTTGGACAAGGCTCGTCCTAATTGGGTCATTAAGATCAGGGCGATGCACCTCTAGGAGAAGCGAGTGTAGCTCGTTGACTTTTTCAAGAAAAATACTAAAGTGTTTGTATGGTCACTAAGCGATATGCCTAGAATAGACCCTGACATGACTTAGCACCCCCTGAACATTTCCCATAAGATTTGACCTATGAAGCAAAAGCCTCATAAGTTCGCTCCCAAATGCCAATAAGCAATTAACGATGAGGTGGACAAGCTGTTAGGGGGCAAGGTTTATTGCTAAAGTGCAGTACCCCTAATGGCTTGCGAACATTATATTGGTCAAAAAATATAATGAAAATTGAAGAATGTGTTTTGATTACATCGATCTAAATAAAACATGTTTGAAGGACAACTACCCTCTTCCTCATATTGATCAGTTGGTTGATGCTACCTTAGGCTATGAGCTTCTTACTTTCATGAATGCATTTTTAGGATATAAATAGTTAAGGATGGCTCCTTGAGATCAAGAACATACCTTCTTCATCACAAATCAATGCATATATTATTATAGAGTCATGTCATTCGGATTGAAAAATACGGGGATGATATACCAAAAGATAGTTAATAAAATGTTCAAGCATCAAATTAGGAGGAACGTCAAGTTATATAAGGATCATATGATAGTCAAAATCAGAACAGCTAACTCGTATCTAGTGAGCTTGGCTAAGACATTTTAGGTTTTGGAGAGATATAATATGCACCTCAATCCATTCAAGTGCACTTTCGTATTTTCTTGGATTCATTTTTCACTAGAGAGGATTATACGCAAACCTGAAATGGTCCACACCATATTAGAGATGCATCCATCTCGGTCGGTAAAGGAAGTGCAATAATTAATAGAATAAATAGCTACACTTACTTGGTTCCTATCCTAGTCTAGAGACAAGTGCTTGCACTTCTTTTGGGCATTGAAAATTCTAGAAGATTTTCTATGGATCAACAAGTGCTAGAGGCATTTGAGAAGTTGAAGCATCATCTCGCCTAATTTCCATGACTCTCCTCCATTCCAAGCAAGGCTTTTAACCTCTGTCTCATTACCACCAAGCAAGTTGTTAGCACATTATTGATGTAGGATGACTTAGGAGTCCAAAGACCCATTTATTATATCAACCATGTACTAAACGGAGCTGAGTGATACCCTCCATCGAGAGGCAAGCTTTTGCGCTAGTATTAGTGGCAAGGAATCTTCATCTCTATTTCTAAGTGTTACTTATAAGTGCCCTATAAGCCAATCACGTGAGTGATGACACCTGTGACACGCTACAATGAGATCACGATAATGAGACTGATTCACCTTTAAACATAGACACTAAATTATCCTAGTTATAGGTTACTCGAGAAGGACATCGAGATAACTGGATAGATTGGTGCACTATATGCTCGTCCATATGATGAAGGCAATTGGTCTCATAGTTGCTCATGCAGGGACATTAGAGGTATAGTGCAGGTGCTCACCGGAGAATGAGTTCATATATTGATCTGCTTATGAAATGTTGAATGGTTAATGATACCTAATATTAGACAGTGATTACGTAGTCATAGTTGTATGTCTGGTCCTTAAACTTTAGATACCAAGAATGTCTTGTATAAGTACTTCATTCTTTGACATCAGACTTACATGTTTGAAAATTTCAGATCTGGTATAGTTGGTTCTCGATAATGGTAACCAACCTTACAAAGGCAACTAAATATCAGTAGAGGATTATCCACTCTCAGTATCGCGAGAGAAATATCCTATGTGTCTTCGCTTGGACAAAATTCCTAGCCAAGGTCATTTGGAGAGAGGAGTTCTCTAAGAGAATCCGATTAGAGCGAGACTCTGATAGGATTTCGTATGGGTCTAATGTCACCATTCCCAATATACGATCTCTATGATATTAGATGGATAAGGGACTATAGATACATGGTAATTGTGGACAGACAGATCCGATGGATTAGATCATCCTGTACCATTTGAGGACTATGGCATAATGGCCTAGTATGCCCATAATCGATGAGTCGAGTGAATTATTATGAAGATAATAATTCACTATATTAGAAGGAGTTTTAATAAGATCAACTCACGGCCAGCTTGATATCGGGCATAAAGGGTCACACATATATGATCGATGTTGCAACGAGTAGAGATGCAGATATGAGATATCTGCAGAGCCCTTAGTTTGGATTATATGGATAAGATCCAATTGGACAATTGGATAAAGATCCAATAGCCATATGATGCATATAGACAGGGAGACCCCACATCGATCTGAGGAGCATTGTCACTACATCCGTTGTGTGGATAACCACTAGAGAGAAGTACGTGAGTTCTCTTTCATCGACTCCATCATATTTAAAAATTTTGGAGATATTCGATCTCTCTATATAACATTTCTAATATGATACATGTAATTTTTTAATTTTGTGATTATCTCACACACTAATCGTTGCACAACGATCAAGTACTTAACATTGAAAAATCTAGTTTTTATTTTGTTTTCTACTGCGCATAAGATGCCGACCTACGATTTCCTAGCACTAAGTGCATCCTATATAGGTGATCACCAACCAACCGCTCAAGCAGATCCCTTCAGAATTTAACATCCCGAGGTGGATGCTAAGATGATCGGTAGAGTTAGGCGAGTTCAACATTCAATATGTATCGAGGGTTTCCATTAAAGTTCAAGCATTGGTGGATTTCATATCAGAGCTTACCCTCGCACTTGAGGTCAAAGTCGACAAGCACACCCTCTTAACATGAATCATATTCATAGATGGTTCCTCCATAATGGAAAGGGGTAGTGTTGGACTTAAGTTCTTCTCTCAGAACTCTGACTCGCCTAAGAGCTCCAAGTGCAGGACTTAATGGTGTTCAATGACTCACAACTGGCCGTGAGCCAAGTTGATGGGAGCTACAAAGCCCGAGATGGGACCATGGTGAAATACCTTGTCGAGATGTAGTGGTTAGCCTGAAGCTTCTCCCGACTCAGTGTGCTAAAGGTACCTCATCTAAAAAAATACCTAAGCTGATGCACTAATCAGGTTAGCCTCCACCCAAGTTCAAAGGGAGGGCTCGCCGATAGTCGAGACATTATCGATTTAAATCATCGAAGGGCATGATGTGGCCATAGCCAAGGAGGAACTGAGCTGGATCGATAAGATCCTATTCTACAAGAGAGATGAGACACTCCCTGCTGATACTATAGTGACTCAAATGGTTAGTCATCATCAAGCATGGTATTGCATAATGAATGATTGCTTGTACCGAAGATCCTTCATTATGTAATGGTCTATTCACCTATGTGCCACTTGCAAATACCTTTCCTTAGGTATTTGCGAGGAAATACCTTTCCTCAAGTATTTGCAAGATCCTTTATTATGTAATGGTCCATCTTGCCCCCCACCCTAAATGCATGCTTCGAGACTTTTTACGATAGAGGTTCAAAGCATGGTGTTTAGTTCATTCGGCATGGGAGTGCTTCGAGACTTCTCACGAGAGGGGTTCAAAGCACGATGTTTAGTTCATTCGGCATGGGAGTGTACATGTTCAAGATATCATCTTGTAGGTCAGGTTTTCTTGATTCAGGTGTCCCAGGCATGTTGGGCTTATGCTTTTGTCGTAACAAATTTTCTTTATGAGATTTGGGTTTCCAAACACATGCTTTTCGGGCACATTTGGCCTTGCACCTCCACCGTAACAGATTTACCTTGGCATGGGTCGAGTTTCTTATCTTACATGCCTTGGGAGCATTTGGCCTTGCACCTCCACCATAACGGATTTCTCATTACGCGTGTCGGGTTTTCCGACTTATGTATCTTGGGTGTATTTGACCTTATACCTCCGTCGTGGTTGATTTACCTTAATGCAAGTCGAGTCAAACTGATACACCTTGGACACATTTGGCTTCGCATATCCACCGTGATAGATTTTTTGTTATGCAGGTCGAGTTTTCCGACTCACATCGTCATGGTGAGAAAATATGAAATATATCATGACAGAGGCATAGGGTCAAATGAGCCCAAGGCATAAGTTTGGCAACTAGACTCATGCCAAAATAAACCTACCATGGTAAAGGTATAGGGCTTATTAGGGCTAAATAAGCCCCATGAGTCAGGAAACCTGACCCATACTATGGCAGATTTCAAATCCCTTCTCCGTCGTTCCAAAATCGAAATTTATCATGATAAAAATATGAAGTCAAATAATTAACTATAGTAGACAATTAATTTTTGCGACGGCGATATGGAAAACTCAGGCATTACCCAGACAAAAGTCCAATCGAATCGTCGAATGTTATGGTTAGTATTATGATGCATCGTATTAATCTAATTATGATATTTGGTGGATGTGTCAGATTGACAAAGCGTTTGAAATGTAGATCAACGTGTCACAGTGACAGCCGGTATCGTACATGTGTTGGGACAACAAAACAAACTGCAGATGATTGAAACCCTCGGTGAGTTGATAAGCTCCGTGGTGCCTTTTGTTCCAATGTAGATGACCGAAGCCCTTCAGTTGGAAGAAGAAAGCCTAGAGGTTTATGGCAATAGCTTATTCTTCTGCACGTCACCTGTTGACTTAATCAGTGATACCAGTCATTTGAACAACAAATGCAGGAAGCACATCTCGATTTCCACAGCCACACATGTATTATGTATCATAATGCCATTTCTAGCGAGTCTCTGGTCCCTCGACATCACAATCGAAAGTACAGAAAAGCATAGGCCATAGTATCACACATCAAACATGCAATCTAGTAACTGATGATAGAACCATACGGCACCTATATACGAGGAATTCAGTTGTGAGTGGATGCTTGAAGCAGTCCATCACGGATCTGGTCTGCAACATCACGGACAGAGCCAGGCCCATGAGGTATGAAAACAGCCGAAGATTTGGACTGTGCACCGATCTCCTTCATGGTGTCGAAGTATTGTGTGATTAGGACCATGTCCATCACATCCTTTGCTGTGGTGCCTGGTACGTTGACCGAGAAGCCGAGCACACTGTCCCTCAGGCCATCTACGATGGCTTGGCGTTGACGGGCAATACCTAGACCTGACAGATACTTGGCTTCTGCCTCGCCCTCTGCCCGCTTGATTTGGATGATCTTCTCAGCCTCAGCCTTCTCATTCGCTGCCACCCTTAACCTTGCAGCTGAAAAGAGAACACAAACTTGGTTTAGAATCACGAATGGAACATATGCATCTAAGCTTACTATGATCGCTCCTAAGAAACTGTGATCATCAACAAGTAACGAGTGCACATTAGTCCAAGAGCTCCGTAGCACCATGAACAAAGGCAGTTATTTTGTGCTGACTGTAACCAGATGTAAAGAAGACTGCAACCTTATTAGTCATCGTTGCTGCATTTGTAATGTGATGATTCTCTTTTGCTTGCATATTTCACAAATACTTAACGATAACTGACCTGCATTGATTTCATTCATTGCTCGTTTGACATGTACGTCTGGTTCAATATCAACAATGAGTGTCTGCACGATTTCATAACCATAAGCTGACATAGCCTTCTCAAGTTCGTTTTCCACTGCCTTTGCAATGTCATTCTTCTGCTCAAAAGCATCATCCAGGTTCAGTTTTGGGACGCTCGCTCTGATTACTGAGAACATGGAAAAGATATTTTTGGTAAAATTGGGAGCCATAATTCTGAAGAGAAAAAAGAAATGAAGTACCATGTGTCAATGAAGATGACTAGTCCATGCAGTTGTTTAAATATTCACCTTTTAGCAAACAATACCAGCAAAATGTAGTTTAAATATTCATTATTTTAGTCACTAATACCAGCGAAAACAGGTATGCGGGAGTCACTGCATTGATAGGATCAATATGTTTGCAGCTCTTAAGAACATTTAGGAGGCTTGTTGCTAATGGTTGATTGTCACTCAAAATATTCAAGCCCACTAAAGTTCATTCTGCACTCTACCATTCTCACAAAATCATACTTGATATACAAATAAAAAGGAACATGGTGTAACTTTTGCATTTTTTGAGACATCTACAGAAACAGAGCACTGCAACTACTAGTAGTTACCAAAACCTCCAATAACTGTTCTAATATAGATGACAAGTGGCAGTAGACCTAGCTTTGTTTTGCAAAGTTTTCACAATAAAGAAAATGCTGCAAGTTTACCTGATCCCAAGATCACAAATCTAATTGTATACAAAAACATTATCCTGGTCAGTGCTTGTGAGTTTGTCAGCCCATTATATAAGGAAATAATAAGCTACAGTTAAGCAGATAACCTTCCTCGTCCCTCACTCTTCTCATATCCTATATGATTTTCTTCATTCACCGTGCTTATTTTTTATTCCAAAAACTCGGAAGTAGATATCCTATATGATTTTCTTCACTCAGTAATTTCTGTTTTGAAACATGGAAAATAGATATGATGTCAAAAGGGCACTGAAGGAAAATGATTCCATGCTTCAATCCATACTCGCACGTGACCAATCTTGTGCATTCATATCACTATGAGAAATTTATTTGTATGACTGACTTATGTATGAGCATTTGAAAGACCCATTGCTAAAATAATATAGCTACACAAAAGGATGTCACAATGCTACAAAAGATAACAGATCAATCAACATTTGGTTATTATCAATTTGTTATGCTTTGCATGTGAGAAACAAATACTTAGCATTGATTTCTTTATACCGTCAAACACATAGGCTTGTATTTGAGATCTTGTGTTGCTCAGCTTGTAAAATGCATCACTTGCTTTCTCAGCCAGAGCATGGTACTGTACAGATGCGACAACATTCACAAAAACATTATCCTGCATGTAGCAAACAAATGATGTTCATTTTCTGCATGGTTGCATCAATAAAAGTGGCATAGTATTGAAGAGATTATTTCTAAAAACAATCATAAAAGTGCTGCTCCAACATACTCCATATCTAATTGTAAAGAACATAGAGATCAATGTTAAGCTCAGAAGGTACCCAATGCATTGAATATAGTGCAAAAGTTAAATAGAAAGATAAACAACTAAAGGTGGAAAAGGAAAGCAAAAGACTGTCATGATTATTGCAAATAAGTAAGTTACAGACCCACAAAACAATAAGGGGTGCAATGATGTGCAATTCATGTCAACAAAATAGTGGCTATAATCCAGAATTTCACTGTGAGCGAATTCGAGAGGAGTCTCAGTCTGGAAAAGCATTAGTTACTTCAACATCTAGACATGATCGGAGGAAAACCTTCATAAAATGTCTGACTGAAAAGGTGCACTGAGAAAAGGAAAGTTGCTACACTCACATACGAGTCATTGCAAAGGACCAAGAAGCCACATGCATGTATCTAAAATAACACACAAACTACTTAATAAATTATATGGCAGCATGTATCTAGGTTGCAAATATTAAACCAAGTGTCACCAATAGTATGCATAGAATCCATGGAATCAAGGTTCATCGTACCACAATGTACCGCACGGTATGGGCGGAACATACCAGGACGACAAAAGACCAATACATGCGGTATATCGATACACCCTCATATGTCATATGCCAGTACACTCGGTACAGCACAGTACATATTGTACCGACAGCTGGTCGATACACCGGTACGGACCAGAAAGATGAACCATGCATGGAATAACCTATGCTCTCAAACTTTTCTATAACGATTTTGTTTTGTGGCCTTTCTTGAACAACAAGAATTATAAAGGCTAACAATAAATAATACATGCCTAGATGGCTGATTTGATGGGGATATACATTTCTTATCAAGCATGAAATTTTAGAAGAAATTAGGGGACAACAAGCTTCACGAGAGACTTCACATGACATCAATATGCTAGACTAGCATTAATACTAGACAAATGATGGTAAATGATTTGTTTTAAATGACATGCACAACGATTGCACTTAAAACATAAAAATAGTAAGGAAAAGACCTTTGTTTTTGTTTCACATTTAACATCCAGCTGTTGCAACCTTAGTGAGAGCCGCCCAGAAACTTTTTTCCCAAGGAACCAAGGCATACAATGGCATCCTGGCAGAAGAACATCCTCAAACTTTCCGAATGATTCCTTAATTGCGACAGAAGATTGATCTACTGTCACACAGCAAAGTGCTTGACCCATCGTTTATCGCCTAATATCCCAAATGATGTATTAGTTCAATCATGCAACATGAAATGTCAAAATACCTAATTCTTGTTGCTCATTAGCACCAAAAAAGATTCACAATTTCAATTAGCATAAAGGAGTATATTCAACCTTCCTTACAGCAGAAAAAGGAGTATTAAAAAACAAATACTATTTTATGGTAATTTAGAAAGAAAGATACCTAATTCTTGTTGCTCATTAGCACCAAAAAAAGATTCACAATTTCAATTAGCATAAAGGAGTAGATTCAACCTTCCTTACAGCAGAAAAAGGAATATTAAAAACAAATACTATTTTATGGTAATTTAGAAATAAAGATACAAAAACAAATACAGGACTGTACATACTGTCATGCATGGTAATTTAGAGAAATAGAGAAGACAATTTCAGCAATAGCATACAGTGAGTAATATGGAGATCAACTATAGACTTAAGAGTTTGATAAAGTAGCTTATATAGTATCAGGCTTCACCTTAGAGAAAAAACATATCCAAGAGCTTCCACAAGTAGTTGAGATGAAATAAGAATGCGTGAATTTATATATCACCACGGAGAACCAAAAAATATTTGAGGTTCTGAAATTGTATCTCTGGACACAGTAACATTTTGAGACAAACCATGACTGTATGACAAGCATAAATTTCATCTGCAATCATAATAGAAACTACATACAATTTGATTTGCGATCATAATAGGAGCTATTTCCTGTGCGAAAAATAAGTTTAGTTTGTTATCATACAAGGAATCAGGCAAAATGTTTCCCTAAAGGATTATGACCTTGCTCTCATCGAACACAATGATTGTATAAGTTGTTACAAATTTCTACTTGAAAGACTCCACAGCCAACATTCTAGCAAACAATTTATGAAATGAAAACCATAAATCATAAGGAGATCTTTTTTTTTGTTCGCCAAAATCAAAATCTATTTGGTACCCTGTGAGGACACCTGTGAAGGACAAAATAAAACCTGGAAATACGAGATAAATATGACACAAGATCAAATCGAGATGCCAGAAGATGATGAGAGGTATGCTATCTATCTCCCAACACACAGAATAAGATATCTAAAGAAGCAGACAATAGCAATTATTGCCAAGTGGATGCCGCTGTTGGCAACATTATCCTTCACTGTTTCGCTCACAAGGTGGAGCCACACAGTGACTGCATTCGCTTATGATAGAGACCAACTTTTCCACAATGTCAATATTAGCCACAACAAATATCTCCTATGAGAGAGCATTCAAAATCGTGGCTTTAGACGAAAGGGAGACGCAGGGATAACGAACAGAGAACAATCAAAGTGTCCCCGTTGCATTCAACTCATCGTACAGAAGCAGATTCATACAATTTAGTATATGTTGCTGTTTTGTCCAGATTTAGTTGGAAAGCTTCTGTATGAGCACTGTACAAACAAGGATGAGAAGGCCGTAGCGTGGGTTCTGCTTCTCCAAAGAATTATGATTCTGATAATTGAAAAAGAAACAGTGTGATTCGATACTGGCCTTTGTGTTATTTTTTCGTGGAACTTGACAGAATTATGTAACAATTAACAAAGAGGATGATGGGTTGAGTGGCATTCGAACAAAGCTAAGAAGAAAGAGACAGACATTAAAAACAGTAGCACAGATTCGAAGAGGAGGCAACCTTCATAACACTCTTCTTTCCACCACACTATCCACTAGAAAAGGGCAACAGAAACCTTTTCTAATTCAAAGTACTTTCACTTGCTTGGCACCCATCATCGGAAGCGTCGAATCACGAGAGCAAGGACGTGTCGGTGACTAACACTACCGCACCAATAAGCAACAGAGCGAGGAGGACATGGAAACCCTAAGAAACCACACAAGGAAAGAAAGCCCAGAGCGACGGGGAGAATCGTCGTCGTCCGAGCACCGGATGGAACCCAAAACGAAGATCGCACGGAAAAGGCTGCAGAAAACTACGCGAAAATCGAAGAAGCATGCGAGCGGGCAGAAGCCTTTCTTTTACACACCTCTAGACACAGTCAGCCCTCGAGAGACCTTCGCGAGGTTCCGTCTACGCCGAGGGGAGGGGGTTTCGCAGGTACACCATAAAAGCCGCGGTGCGAGGGTGACGGGAAACCGGAAGATCCTGGATCATCTGCTTAGATCAAACAGGAAATACCAAGGAAGTGGGCTCAGCGCCCACCAGTTTGTTGTGGCCTGACGTGTCTCGGGGTTCACCGTGTCCGCTGTTTCGGCTGGAAGGCGGAGGCAACCGGGGCTCAATCGGGCAACGTTGGATGTCAGTCACGCGGAACATACTAAGTAGATCGTTTGTGGTTGTCAAAAACAAGGGGAGCATTCACGGATTCCGAGGGCGGTCTTCTTATGCTGCGGGGCCTTCTCAGGCAAAGGGGAAAAACAAACTTCACATAAACTCCTCCGCCTCCTGCATTAATTAAATGGAACACTAAAACTGCTGTTACCCCCGGTTTTCCTTTCCTAGTCATCATCGATCACCTCTACCACCCACCGTCTGTCCTCTGTTTCATATCATGGTTTACCGTATCGTCAACCAGTGGATCGGAAATACACGTTCAAGTGTAGGTTCGTTTAATTTCCATGCATAGGTTCATCAAACTTCTGTTTTCTCTTCTTTTGTGGTGAGAGTTTTTCTCCTAGTGACACTCCGATCAATGATAAGTCTTTCTGCCAAATGCAACAAAAAAAAAAATATATAGTACCTACTATCGAAGAAACACAAACATATAATTTTATATTGAAAACAAGATAATAAAAGAATTATTTGTCATTATCTTATATAGATATATTGTTACTAACGAATGTTAGTTTCCCGATGAGTGCGAATGGTCAAACTAATGTGTAGGGTTATTCGAGATATCTCCAAGGTAAAAACATATAGCTCTCGATGTGTCACTTACATAAAGATAAAGATCGAAAGAGATTTCTCGACCCAATCTCTTTGATGTCCAAATTAATAATCTAAGTTATATGAGTGTGGACGTGAGTTGTCAAAAAATGTAACAACTTGTCATTGTGTTGAAAATAAGCTTTTATACTTGGTCGTAAAAAGGTAAAATATTTTATGAAATATTCTTAGAGGGATAGTCTCTAACTGCCTCGAACAATCTCACCATGGTCTCTTATCCACGTTGACGACAAGGGGGGTAGCCCATAACCACCTGCCTTGACCCTTGCCCACGTGGGTAGACGGGTGGAGATGACCTTCGTCTTCTTCTTTCACCCCGAATACTACATGACGATCACATATTGGATGAAGATTGACTAACGGAGTACTCTCTATCATTTATCCCCTCCCAAGGCATACTTTGGGACTCTTGCAATAGGGGTTCGAAGTGCGATGTCTAGTTTATCTAGCACATGGTGCTTCAAGTTTCCTGACCTCCATACCTCAGGCAAAGGGGATCAAGTTTCCCGACATCCTTGCCTCAAGTGAAGGCAAAGATTAGGTATCCTGATCTCCCCATTTTTAACGAATGCGAAACAAAATCTCCCTATCTTTAGTGAAGGCAGGGGTTGAGCTTCCCAACCTCCCCGCCTCGGGCGAAGGCGAGGTTCTCATCTCTTTTCTTATTACGTAGAGGCCTCATTTCTACTCAAGGTGCTCATATTTTTATTTATTTATTGATGAGCCTTTAGGACAATGGACAACATTGGGCAATGATCTACCCAAATCGAGTAAAAGAGGGGATCGATACTCTACCTCCCTTCTTTGAGCATTCTTTCTCTTGTGTCTTCCGTCATGACAAACTTACTCTTATGCAAGTCGACTTTTCCCAACTCATGCACATTGAACACATTTTGTCTTATACCTCCCATTATAATGACTTTATTCTTATATAGGTTGGATTTTTTTGGCTCATGCATCACAGGCATATTTGATCTTATGCCTCCTGGCAAATTTCTTAATACACAAGTCGGGTTTTCGCGACTCATGCGCCTCATGCACATTTCATCTTATACCTTCAACCGAAGAAGATTTCTTATTACGTGGATTAGGTTTTCTTGACTCACACACCTTTAGCACTTTTTGTCTCGTACCTTCCGTTGTAGTGAATTTCTTATTATACAGGTCGGGTTTTCCCGACTCACATGGCTCAGGCATATTTCTCGACTCATATCTCTCGACTCATGTGTCTATGAGACATCTTGTCTTATATCTCCTATATGTGGTGGGTTTTCTTTCATATGTTTCGATATGGTCTTCACACACCGGTCACTTCTGCACTTTTTGAGGTGGTCTTCATATATTGGTCACTTTTACACTTTCCAACTTGACCTTCGTATATTTATCACTTTTGTACTTTCCAATGTGCCTCTTTGCCTTTGACTTATAGCATCACTATTACGTCATGGCCCTTTTTGACCACGTGCATGATGTTAGCTCCATCATTCATCAATACTCCCTCATGATCGATAATCTCCATGAAGACATAGAGGGGCTGAAGAAGAAAAGAAGAGACATAGTGCTTATTGTTGAGGCAAAGGCTCAAGGAGTTGAGCTAGCAAGGCAACTAGAAGAGGTTGAGAGTCACCTCATCAAGAGCTAAGTCTAATAAGGGCATACAACTCTAATTTCATTAAGTTGTAAGGTTTTGAGAGGAGTTGATCCTTGTCTTATGAGGTGCTGGTCTTTACTGTATTATTGAGCTTGCCTACTCGACTTAGTCCCTATGTCTTGTCATAGCTGTATTGTCGAGCTTGTCCACTCGACCAATCTCTGTCTCAATAAGTTAAGGTCTCATTTTATATGTAAGGCCCTATTGAGTTGGTGTAGCCTTTTCAAGTAATGAAATTTTCTTTTCTCAAGTTGTAATGCTTATACCTTGAATATATACTTTTTTTTTTATAAATGACATGAAGACATTGTAAACCAAGGCTTAACACTCGAGGCATAGTCACCCCGACCTAACTCTGAGGGATGTCTTAGGGGTAAAACCTATTTAAGTTCATAATGTACTATGTCCTGGAGATATCACCCTTTCTATTGTCCTAAGGTGATAAGTTTCATCTTGGATGATCTCGATGACTCAATATGACTCTTCCTAGTTTGGTGTTAACTTATTCCAAGATTTAGTTAGGTTGTTGACTTTAACTTTCCAAAGCACTCTGTCTTGTCTAAGGGTGCTTCAATCAACAACTTTACTGGCTTAGGATGTGGGATAGACTTAGTGAAATCTCAGTGGTTCATAGGTGGCACATTAGGTCGGGCCCTCTTTGATAGGGAAACCACCATCAGATATCATTAATGCGATTCTCTTGAGTTACTTCTCAACTCTCTAATATCGGTCCCATCGAAAACTTCATCACTATATGGTAGGTAACCATCGTTTTAGTCTATTCAGTGTGGGTCGGCATATGATCACATTATATGCTAAGGGGATATCCACCACCATAAATTTAGTCAGCATTATTTTAGAGCTAGCCTCGTCTCCAAATATAATGTGCAAGTTCACAATCCCAAGATGCGAGATGGAATTGCTAGTGAACCCCATCAGCGAAGAAGTTATAGTGTTGACAGCTCGAGTTTTATATAGCATCAAAGTAGAGGATATCAATAGAGCTACTTATACCAATTATGACCCTCTTCACCTAGCATTAATCATCTATATAGAAACTATCAAGTCATTATCATGATTTTGGTTGAGGTACTCCGTCTCTTTCTCCTTAAAGGTTATCTCCAGATCGTCCTCTATCCTTGGGAGCTTTTCAATGATAGCTTTAGTATAAGTCTTATGACTTGAAGAGTTGTCTCCCCTAGAGAGGAGTCTACTAATGATAATGTCAATTTGCCCCTCCATTGGCCCTTGAGGTTAGGATGAGGGTTCTCAATGCTTTTAAACGAATTGCTCGAGGTGTCCCAATGTATGAGTTCTTCAATTTGTTCTTTCAAGTTGCATAATCCTTTGGGTCATGATCATAATCCTAGTTGAACCAATAGTATTTAGAATTATCTCTTTTTGCCAATGGGATTTTCAATGGTAAGGGTCTTTTAAGAGCCCCTTCTCTTTTACCTATAAAAAATTTTCAATTCTGGTCATACTTAAGAGTCTTAGCCTAGACCTTGTGCGAGGTAACTCAAGATGTTTGTTTCTCTTTTGCTATTGTAACCTTATGGTAGGGGCTAATTGTGGCTATTCCTGTTATAACCTCTTGCATTACTCCCCATGTTTGCCCAAGACATTGCCTCGATGGTGATGTGTTAATTGGCCTTTTAAAGTGCCTATAGTATAATTACTAGTGATCTCTTTATCAACAACTAGAAAAGGTTAGAGGGCTTTAGCCCCATCATAAAGTTTGTATTATTAATAATAGATGGGCATCTAGCACACCTTGGGACTCGCTCGTGAATTGAGTGATGAAGTTTACGAGCATTTCTTCTTCCTCCTACCTAAGTCCAAGGAGCTTTGTTGTTAATGGCCATGGGCATACGTTTCTAAGGAAGTAAAGTTTGAACTCCTTTGCGAGCTAGGTAAAATAATTGATGAAAAACAACCTTAGGCGGGTATACTATTCTAGTGCTGGGACTCTTAATATGGTTAGAAAGGTGTGGCACATCAAGATATCTAAAGTGTCGTACAACAACACTAGGGCACAAAAAGCTATAGTATACTCTATCGAGTTGGTATTATCATCAAATATATCTAAGGATTGGAGGTGGAAGTTTGTTCGAATCAATTCCTCTTGGATTTCTAGATGAACGGTTATCGACCTAAGGTAGGGTCGACCAGATCTTCCCCTTTTGATTATTAGACCTCGCATCACATCTTCTCTAAATGTCGGTTCGTAGTTAGATCTATAAGGAATCCTTCATCAACTCTGCTAACTAGGCCTCAGATTCAAGTAGAGAAGAGTGGTAGTGCGGTCCATTGAATTTGATGTTTAGGGACCAAAGTGCCCCCTCGACTGGTGGTTCGAGGGGTCTCGGGCGCTCTTAGGATGTTAGCACCATGTTGGATCGAGAAATATTGACGAGTATTAGTGCTAGTTGCGGTGGGACTAATGATAGTGGTTGAGCTAATGATACTACATGCTAGGTTAATTATGATAAAAGTAGAGTGATGGCCTATATTATGCTTGTTAGTGTCTATACTTGCTAAGTGAGATTTAAAAACATATTGGTGGGAATGAGCAAGTGGCTCGAGATCATCCCTAGGGATGAGAGACCCAAGTCATTGAATAGACACTGGTATCACATCGACATATGCAATGAGATGGATGTACTCATATAAAGAAAGGATGGTTGTTGCCCCCCCTGGGTGAGTACTATGGGTCGAGGGCAAGGGCTCTTCGCTTGAGCATTTATCGAGAGGGTCGATGGGTGGTCGTTCCAGTGACATCGAGCCCTCCTTGTAACATAAAAAATATTAAGGAAAGAAGTCATTGACATCTTGGTCAGCTTGACGTGATCTAGATCCTATGTATAGATTTGTCTAATATGCCTTTGAGGTAAAAACGTCAAGCTCTCAAGGTGCCAAGGTTGAGAGAGGTCTCCCGACTCGATCCCCAAGTTAGTCGTCCGAGGTATGAGTATACACATGAGTGGTAAAAAAAGATACTCCCATATTATTGTATTGAATATGAGCTTTTATATTTAGTTGTAAAGAGATAAGATATTTCATGAAATTTCTACGGAGAGCAGCCTCTAATCACCTCCAACAATTATCCCTTAGTTTCTTGTTCACATGAGCGACAATGAAAGACCACCCATAACCTCTTGCCTTAGACCTGTGCCCATGTGGGCAGACAGGTGGAGTGTGGCCTTCGTTTCTCCTTTTACCTTAAACACCATGTATTGGTCATATGTCGAATAAAAATTGACTGGTGGTGTACTCTCTATCAACTTAGGTTCCTTTTTTCTTATTCTACTCTTAAGAAAAAATAATTTTTATTAACAAAAATAGTGCAACTCCCAAGTCAAGTTTTTTTTTTATTAATTACTTAAACAAACATGAGTATATGGTTTCTTTCTCTATTTTCTTTTTCTTTTTACACAGCGGTAAACAGGGGTCAGCCAATACTTACACGCGTCTGAACGGAAGTCCGGGTAGAGCCGAACTTGTTATTTTGGATCAAGACTCGGTGTCGGCGAAGAAATCTTTCGCCCATCCATCTTTGTTGACACTTGCGGCTAAAACATCCGGAAAAGAATCAAGGTGTGCTTGGGTATAATTCTCCGGTCACGAGAGAAACAACCCATGCATGCATGGATGAGTCCAAGTCGAAGCGAATCTCACGGCAATAGGAGACGAGAGCTGGGAGAAGACTCGGCCGCAGGAGGAATGGCGACACCGGAAATTAATTGGCTCTGCCGGACTTTGCAGACCATCGGCCCTCGGTTAGGAGGGATCGGGAAGTGAGTAGGGATTAACTGTTCGGTCTCGATCAGAATCCAGGATCCAGGTCACCCTGTGGCTCCCGCCCGTCTGATGTCAAGGCGACAGTGTGGGGAGTCCTGCTCGCTGTCTGACAGAAGACGGGGAACCCCCTGCCCCGAAGTTTAGTGGACGCGTGGAGTCTTCGCACTGAACGTGGCGAGGATATGGCTACTGAGGAGCTCGCAAATTGCGACAGTCTCAACGACTTCATCCCCGCTTCAGAAATTGCGTCCGGAACGAAATGAGCACATCGATCGAGGAGTGCCTTTCTTCCTTGAGATCTATCTGCGACGAGTGAGTTGCGATTGGCTATTGGTATGGTCCTTGTTATAGTTTCCCCTCTTTCACCAACAAATCGAGTCCTGATTATGATTGTGATAACAGTGCTTTTGTTCTCATTATGATTCCGATCAAGTTTGGTGAGAGATGGGTATGTAGTTTTACTGCTGAAGAGGTCATTCCCGAACGAAGCTTGTCACAATTTGTATATTGCCTTCGTGGTATGATGCGTGTCACATGTTTGCTTTTATGCTTGCCGTACGCTTGTTAATTGGACTGCCCAAATGCTTCATGGGATCACGAAATAAAGCTAGAATTTTTGCTTATATTGGGTGGATGGTGTCCTTTCTTGTTGCGTTCTTACTTTCTCAGCTATCGACAAGTGTTGGTAACGGAGAGTCGGGATTCGCCATTGTGCATTTTTCAGTTCCTCTGTAATTTCATCTGGTGTATTTATTGATGTACCTTCTTATGCCCAATTGATGGTACATGGTTCTGGCTAATCTTGGCAAGCACGATTTAGTCTGAAACATATATCTCCTTCATTTAATAGACTATCATTCATCATCAGGTTGACGCATGAAGAAATGATTAGTGAATTTACCCTTTGTTTATTTCTAAAGTGAAGCAAGACTTGAAATCATGTTCCAATAAGAAAGCTGAATACTCCTGGTATTTATCTCAAAATCATGACCTGTTCAGGTTTTCAGGACATGTCTTGATACAACTGTAAGGTTGCTCATTAACAATTAGCGATCTGGGTCCATGATTCAAGTCATAGAAATAGCATCTCTAAACATAGAATATAGCTTGTATACATTGACCCAGACCTTACCTTGGGGTTTCTGAGTCACGGTTCACGAAAGCAGTTATTGAGGAAGAGGATAGCGTGAGATACAGAAAGGTGCATTTTGGTTTCGATATGCCCTTTATCCTATTAACCATATTCAAATTGGTATTTCCCCTAGTAATGGGTTATGGTCAGTCACTATCTGATACTGACTCTCTTCTAGAGAAATAAGAGGAGGTACTGAAATAAATTAGACATTAATCTATGTTGAGGATTTTTTCTAAACATGATTAGTAGATGACAATCCACATTTTCTGGACTCATGCTTAGGATCTAGATGACTGAGCTGTTGACTTGCCTGTGGTGGCAGAGAACATTTATGTCGGAAACCCTTGAGGTTGCTTCTATGCAGAGGAGTTATGTTGCTAATTGTTTTTAAAGGTTAACATAATTGTGATGTTCCACATGTTGCGTCATGCTATTGTGTGCTGGATTACTTATTGTTACATAATTCTTTTCGTAAAAACTTTTGTCATTTATAAAATTGTTCTACTTAGATTTGAGAGACACTGTAATTTCACTATGGATCACCTTTACTTGTCTTGAATAGGTTCATGGATAACTAATATATGTTGTTATGCAGTTGTATAGCTTTTCTGCATTGGAATTCTGAGTCAGTTCATGATATATATTATTATTCTTGGGAATGGCTCCTACTGAAAAGAGTTCCAGGCTTCCAAATTGTGATGCTTATTTTGAGGCAATCCAGTCGAAGAAAAAATTGCCATATGCTTTGCAGGAATGTCTGACTTCTGCATTTGCACAGATTCCAGTTTCATCATTCCCAGAAGTACCAGGAGGAAAAGGTAACTGCGATTGTGCATTGTTAGTTATGATATTGTCATATTTAACATGAGGATTCATGCTCTTCTTTCTGTTCTCTATTTCTTTCTTGAAATTGTTTTCTGGTTTATTTCCCTTATGCAAGATTGGATCTCATGTGATTTATTTAATATTTTTTACTTTTTAAATGCATGCCTGTCTGAGGTGTTTTGCATTCGTTACATTATTGAGTCCTTTGTCACATCTGGACTTCAGATTTTACACTTCTGGTGCAGTAATTGAGATACCAGGAGACATGCCAATTGTTGATGCAGTTCGAATTCTGTCAGAGCATAATATAATGACTGCTCCTGTAACACATTCAAATGGAGAGAATAGCATAGATTGGAGGGAGAGATATCTTGGAATTATTGATTATGCTGCAATCATTCTCTGGGTTCTAGAGAATGCAGAGCTTGCAGCTATCGCTCTATCAGCAAGTTCAGCAACAACTGCAGGGGTGGGAGCAGGAGCAGTTGGAGCTCTTGGAGCAGCAGTCCTGGGTGCAACTGGACCAGCTGCAGTTGCTGGGTTGACCATTGCTGCTGTTGGAGCAGCTATAGCCGGTGGAGTAGCTACAGAAAAAGGAATGGGGAAGGATGCTCCTTCAGCTGTTGATGATCTGGGAGAGGATTTCTACAAGACCCTTCTTGAAGAGGAACCTTTTAAATCAACAACAGTAAGCATTATATATATTTTTTATTGCTTTAGTAGTCTCAAAAAGGAGTCCAAAATTTTTTTGTAGCTGTTTACTTCCCCTTTTTTTTTCTCTGCAATTTTTTTCTCTGCAATTTTTTTCTCATGGTTTCCCTATCATTTTGCTCAAAAGAAGAAGAACTATTTCTATTGTGTGTTTGGCAATTAGCTATTGTGAAGGTTTGGTTGGACCATCTGTTGTTGTCATTAACCTGTTGATGTTTTCAGATTGACTTGTCTTAATCTATTATGGTTCCAGGTTAAATCAATCATGGAATCATATCGCTGGGCACCATTTCTCCCTGTTGGGCTAGACAGTTCCATGCTCACCGTTTTGCTGTTGCTATCAAAATACAGACTAAGAAGTGTCCCAGTTGTTGAATCTGGCAAGCCACATGTTACAAATTTTATTACCCAGACAGCAGTTGTACAAGGTCTCCAGCAATGCTCAGGGAGGGACTGGTTTGACTGCATTGCTGCGTACCCTCTTTCAGACCTTGGACTTCCTTTTATGTCATCTGAAGAGGTTACTCCTGCAGCTCTTGTGAATTAGTGCTCTCATGCATAAAGTTTTAATTAGTGATTCTAGTAATGTTAAATCATTCTCAATTTTGCCTCTTTTTAATTGTTTAAGAAGATTATTGTACACAATTTTGGTTCCTATTCTAGGTCTTTGATAGGTTTGTCTGCTAGATATGGACTTTTGTGTTGCTGACTCATTTATATTCTTTTTTATCTTTATTTTTTTCTTATTTTAAGGATGATAAAAGATCTCTGGATGTGCTGAGCCATCACCAATGTACATTGGAAAAGTAATACTCTGTGTCGGAATTCTGTTTACATAAACATTATAACCCTCAAGCTTAACAAGATTTCTTATTTTATGCAATGTGGAATGGAGATTCAGTCTTTATCCACATGCTGATTCTCTATATATTGGATTCTCGTGCTATACCCATGTAAATGTCCATTCTTCTGCTGTGTCTCTAACATATGTCTTTAAGCTAATTTTCCCTCTAGTCTTATTAGTGGTATTTTTTTTCTTTGAATTTATTCTTTGAATTCTTTCCTTCAGCTAATATGTATTTCTACTTCTTATCTTAAAGAAAGAATCGTTTGCTGTTGTCAAATTTTTTACTTTGCAGGGTCTAGTATAGCACAAGCTACAATGCATCAAGTGTTATATGGTTGTATGTGGAAGTAGAATATATTTTTGACATTTTGCATTCTATTTTAACAGTTCTGTTTAATAAGCATATAATTTTGATGTATATTCAGGTTGCATGACTTAGTATTGGATTCCTGATAATCTATTGCAAGCAACATTATATATAGAAAATGTTCATATGAAGTTATCCCAAAAGGTGCAAAATTCTACCTTATGAAAGAAATAAAGAAAACCTTGTGGTTTCAGTAACTTATCTCCTGATTGTAAATACAAATGAACCTTTATTATATACATATCTGAGATACTGTTGTGGTATTCTCTTATGAAAGAAGAAATACTAAATTTCTGCATCACCTGTTCATGAAAGAAAATTTTTTAATAACATGGCAACTTGTTTATTCTTATCAAGCAGTTGCTAAGGCTACAAGAAAGGTAGTGTGCTGACTGACGTAATTTAGAACATTGATCTTTGACAATCTTGCAAAGGTCGGTGATTAATTTGTTTTTTGCTTTGGATTGTATGTTTAATAATACCCTGTGAATTGTTTCAATAGAGTACAAAAATGGAAGCTAACTTGACTACCATTTGAACATGAATGTGGCTGTTGATAGAGTTGAATGGCAAGAAAGCAATAAGTATAGCTAGCAACAAAGAGTAACCAGAAGTTCTTTATCTCTCAATGTTTAATCTCAGTTCTCAGTTTAGTTAACGTCATCAGCTAAGGAGTTCTGGATGTACCACTGGCTTTAGTTGTCTTAGTTTTCTGTTGTTAAAAAATGTATTTGAGACCCATTAGATAGATGTGCTATTAGAGGCAAGATCAATTCTATCAATTTTTAATTTTATTAAAACCATGACATAGCCTCCTTCTCCAGCCTCTTCTTTTTCCCCCTCGTTGTTGGAAATAAAACCACAAGAGAAGTTGCTTAGTTGACAAGATGAGACAAGAAAAAGAAAAGATCCATCAAACTTCAATAGATATAAATAAATTTGTTGAATATTGTGTATAAAATTTGCCTCCATAGGCATCTCAAACTGCATGATCAAGCACTACACTAGTTGGAAACATGTGGATCATGAGAGACCATGCTGTGGTGAAGCCCCCTCAAGTGCAGGTCATGTGTTGCAGCCACGAGTGGTGACTAACAAGGGCTACTAGCAGCCTAGTACATGACACATATCATACCAACCTGAGACCAGCCTGGACACCTTACTTGGAAAAGTTGAATGGTGATTTGTATAACATTTTATGCAGTATTGTAAAAATTTTAGGTCTTGTAGAGAGAGACAGACATTATCATCGACTCTGATCTTTATTTGAAGCAACAAAAAGAATCTCTGAACTATTCTCGTTTTCCTGTTTTTATGATGAACTTTGAACTGATGTCTTTCAGGTGATCAGTATTAAAAGTGACGACTTGATCCTAGAAGCCTTCAAGTGTATGAAAGACAACCGTATAGGTGGGCTTCCTGTTGTTGAGGGCCCCAACCATAAAATCGTTGGTCGTGTGAGCATACGAGATATCAGGTTTTTGCTGCTAAAGCCTGGCCTGTTTTCCAATTTCAGGTATTAAATGCTGAAAGTGGTTTACTTCTAAAATTTTAGTTGTCATAACCTTGTTGCAGATTTATTTGCAAGGAGTCTCTTTGTTGATTATCTTCCAATAACGACTAAATAATTGCATTTGTGGTTTCATACCATACCTAAGTCCATATTGAAGGAAGTTATATTGGATGTGAATCCTTCCATGCTTGATGCATGATTGCGCTAAATCAAGGGAAATGCCCTTAGATGTAGATGGGTTATTGGCAAAAAGATGCATACATTAAAGGTTCCTTGGCATCGGTTCTATGTCTGGTCATGCTTGACAAGGTCACCTGTCCAACATGGCTGAATACCGTACTTATTTTCCATCCAACTTATTTCTGCTTTTCCCTTTCGTTGACAATAGTTCAGTTATCTGTTTCAGGCAGTTGACTGTCATGGATTTCCTGAGGACTTTAGATTTGGTCAGTCAAGATTCCAGGAATCATGCGGTGGCACCAGTAACTTGTGCACCTGATGCATGCCTCGGGAGCATCATAGATAGTCTGGCTTCCAAATCTGTTCACCGGATTTATGTAGTTGAAGGTGATGAAAAAGAAGTCGTCGGGGTTATCACACTGAGGGATGTCATCTCTTGTTTCATCTACGAGCCACCTTATCATTTTGACACATATTTTGGATGTGCCGTGAAGGAGTTGCAGAGCCGGTGAAAACATCTGCAGGAAGTAAGTTAGATTACGGCTGGGAAGATCAATGTCAGAGAATTAGATGCCCATGCGCTCTTACTTTCTGATTCTAGTGCCAATGGATGTGTTATTATTAATGTTGTCCTTGGGGTGGTTTTTCAGACATGTTCTATCTTAGCTTTTAGTGAAGCTGCAACATCAGCATGAACCGCATGTAATTGTTGGGTGGGGGCTGAAATGTTAGTTTCATGTCAGCTTTTTGAAGATTCGACGTTCGAACTGCTCATGCTGGTGCCTATGGTCTTCAAACCGTGAACCGGTTCTTGTGATTCTTATTCAAATTTGGGTTGTAGTTGGGGACCTTGGCAGCGTGTCGCTTGAAGTGCTTTTCGAGGACGAGAAGCCTGAGGGTGGGTTCCAACCGCTTGTGCTTTATGCTTTTGTGTTTCTTTTCTCTTCGATCACCCATCTGTTCCGAGGCCAATCAACTAACGTTGGAGAGTCTTTGTCCATTAGATGGTTTCTCTTGTTTTCTCCTAATTGTACTGTTATGTTTGAGGTTGAACTACTGGAGGTTGCAACCATGCTTGAGGTTGAACGACTGGAGAGAGGATAATACCGCCGAGACCTATTTTCACAATATCATATTAGAATTCGAAAGCCGATCGTTGTCGACGTCCTTTATGGTTAAGTCGGGGGGGGCAAAGCAAAATTGAAGAGTCGCGTGCATCTTGGGCAACGGCCCCTGACCCGGAGCTGTTCCCGTCACTGGCGCGAGTCAAACGACGGATCGGGAGGGGAAGATGGGTTGGCTGACTCGTGGGGACTATTAATAATATCAACATCATCCCAACCGTCCGAAAACCGACCCGAGCCACTCCATATACGAACATTAAAAATAAATAAATAAATAAATAAACACTCCGAATCGATCATCTGCCGTCGCCTTCATCGTGCACGGTCCTGATCCCGTAACGTATTTATTATGTTATGAAATAATCAAAAAAAAAAAACAAGAAAAGCCTTAGCTGTCTCGTATGCTACTTTGGGTCGGCGCAGCGTGGTCTCACGTTCGCCCACGCAACGCTTGAGAAATAGCTGTACAATGGCGGACCTCACCACCCCCCTCCTCTTTATATTCGACCTTATTGATTTGGTAATGTGATCGAACCCTATTTCATTTCGGGCACCCATAATAGCCGTAGCAATCGCAGAGGCGCTTCTCCTTTTCTGTTCCGTTCGGTCGTGTTGGGCGGCTCGCTTTCGGGCCGGTTTACTCTTCCGCCATGGCCACCCGGAGGCGAACCTTGCTCAAGGTCATCGTCCTCGGCGACAGCGGGTAAAGGGTTCCCTCGCCTTCTTCCCTTCATCCTGATGTCCCTTCTTTTGTCCTTCGGGTTTTGCCTTGCTTTGGATCCCTTGGTCTTCTAGGGTTCGCCGTCGTTGCGCCTCGGATCTTACGTCGGATCATTTGGTTTTCTATTTGTGGTTCTCTAACTCTTTATTTCTTTTGTTTTGATCTGAAGCGTGGGCAAGACGTCGTTGATGAATCAGTATCCTTGATAGCTCCTTGCGCCTTGTCTGTCCTTCTAGACCAGAAGGTAGTTGCTAATTTGATGCGATTGCATGCGCAATGTGAATCCGCCTAAGACTTTTAAGAGTTTGAAATTCTGACAACTTTTTTAACCTATATCTCTAATGGATAAGATGTATCTTTGCGTTTTTATCTTTTTTTTTATTTTTGATATTGGCTTTTTTTTTTTTGCCTCTCCAGTCGAGGCTCTGTTATTGTTCTTTTCTTTCGTAATTTCGTGATCTTTCTGAATCTTAGTTTTGTGGTGATAATTTATGGGCATCGGACATTCTTTACCACGTTGTAGTCAGCAGATGTTGGTTATACTGCAATCTTTTGCTTTAGGCATCTATACATTTTCAATCAGCTGTATGGGAACAATGTTGTCTCTTAAACCTCACCATTAGATATGTGCACAAGAAGTTCACCCAGCAGTACAAAGCTACCATTGGTGCTGATTTTGTTACCAAGGAAATTCTGGTAGATGACAGGCTTGTCACGTTGCAGGTGAGCTCCCTCTTGAATCACCCACTACTTTCTTCTTGTTCTTTTTCATTCACCCTTAATATTATTTTTCTATGGTTTTCTTCTTGAAATTTGCTCAAAAGTAAGCTATTTTCTTTTGTAGATTTGGGATACTGCAGGTCAGGAAAGGTTTCAAAGTCTTGGAGTTGCCTTCTACAGAGGGGCCGACTGCTGTGTCTTGGTCTATGATGTCAATGTTCGCAGATCATTTGACACTCTTGATAACTGGCATGATGAGTTTCTTAACCAGGTATCAAGTTACATGGCCTTCTATTTTTCGCCTTTTTGCGCAAGTTACCTAAAACTTGTTTGTGACAATGCTCTCAGAAGGACTACCTTGAATCCTCTCTGTGATCATTGAATAATCCTTTTTGCATTCCTAGTAACTCAAAACTCCCAAACTGTACTCTTTTGGCTGCTTTTTGTGAAGTTCAAGAAATTTTGAATTAAATTCAGTATAATTAGACACTCTTGAGGCATGCTATTTCTTGGTGGAGTCATCATTAGTTGAAGGGAACTGATTTCAACACATGGATTTGCATAGTCGTCAATATTGTGGCCATGGCCTCAATATTCATCAATTTGAAGAAGTTACATCATCTCAAACATAGTTTGTATTGTTAGCTTATTTTGATATCATGATTCAATCTGTTATGGAATCAATCCAAGATTTATGTGATTAGTCTCATTTTCTGGGCCTTTGGTTTAGAAATCAGTCAAAATTGGCTAAACGATGAAACTCAACCAGAATTGCTGGCCAATTCTGGCAAATTTGATAGACTCAAAAAAGGAAAGGGGGAAGGAGGAGAAGAAGAATAAATAAGAAACACATGTGACCATGAAATATAATAGGCTATGTCATTTGTATTTTATTTGCTATCTTACAGACACCATTATATTTTTTTATCTGTCATTATTGTTGCAATTTGCTATCCATGTAAAAACTGAGAGTAAAAGAAATGTGGAGTTGAGAATGTTTTTCTTAATTTCATAAGGAAATAGAGATGCTTTTATGGAGAAGGGGGATGCCATGATATTTAAACCTAATCCCAAATCTTGTGTGTGGTATTTTCAAATTAAGTTTTTTTCTTTATCGCCTATTTTTAATCTGCATTATTATAAAAGCATTAGGCTCACATTAGAACAAATTATTTTCTTCAAAATTGCAAGAGGATGTGTTGAGTATTTTTTGCAAAGTATACACCATTGCTATTCACTGCGATAATACATTTATATGTTCAATATAATCTTTTAGTAAGCATGATTATATTTATGAATTCTTCAACATTTTTTTCAGAATTTTTATCATAATATGTTGATTTCATTTTTTTTCTTCAGAAAAGATGTATAATTTATGAAATATAAAGATAAATGAGATATTTTAGCATATGACAATTTTATGTTTTTCCTATTTTTCAGTTTTTATTTTTCTTATTTTAAGTTATTTTTCTTGTTCAATCTTAATCTCCCTGATCATCCCAACCTAGTTCTACTGATCCCAGTCTTGCTTTTTATGACTGTTAGTGATTTTGGTAACTATGATCTCAAGTATATACTACTTAGTTGATTCATGTATAACCAAAAAAATGGACATAAACAAATCTGGAAAGCCTTGTCTGTTAATAAAGAATAAAAAGCCTAATTCAACCATTTCCTCCTTCCTCTTCTCCTTCTTTGTCTTTGTAACACTGGTACGGACCAGTATATGGTGTGTCGGTACACCGTTACCGCCAGGCTTTGATATGGGTCCGATACGCTATACGGCAGTGGTTGGCAGAATGCCACTGTGAACATAAGTTGACGATAAATGATGCTGTCAGATGAAAATGGTTTACAGTCTAAAGTATCATCTCTCTGTTGCCTCTACATATTGCTATATTTTTAAAGATAGGGAAACTATGTGTGATATGTTAGGATATGATTCTAACAATGTTGGTGCATTTATGTGCGACTTAATTGTTTGTTTTGTGGTAAAAATAGAAAAAAAAAGATAAATTCTGATGAAGTTTAGGATCTTATTTCTCAGACCTCATAAAAAAATTGTGCTTCGTGCTTGCTTTAGTGTTTTTTTCTTCTAAGAAAATTTGATATCTTCAGTGTTCTGTTGAAGTCCCAGCCTCAAGGAATGAAATTATGCAAGGAGGGGAAAAATGCAAACTTGGTTTCTGAATCTCCACCTTGAAATGTGGATAGTGCTACTTTCATTAGCTTATTTTCCTTCAGCTATTTTATTATTGTTTGAGAGCACAATGGGAGGTTGTACAAGATTAATTAAGACTGTGAAGCACATCCTCATCTGGAAAAGGATTAGTGTTACACCTTGATCTCCAAATTTCATGATGTTTTAATGTAATAGGTTAACCATTTGGTATATTCTGAAAAAGAAAAACAATGTGAAGCAGAGTCAGCTCCAAATTAGAGTCCAATGAAGTAAAAGATACATGGAGTAACCTTTCTGTTGTAAAAGAGTTGCTTGGAGTAGTGTTTGTGTCAATCAGGTCTATGACTTTACCTTTTCTTTTACATGTTTTCACCCCTTTTAGCAAGGATTTCAAAACTTGAACCAATACCAGACATCATGATCTATTAGATCAATATGGTACCTATATGTGGGTTGATATACAGATCTTTACCAGTTCATATCATTTGATACATTCATTAAATAATAAAAATGAATGGTTCTATACTGGTATTAAACTATAAGTTTTGACATCTGACCTTCATTGGATCAGTAAATACTGGTCCATACTGACCAGTACAATCAAGATTTGAACCTTACTTTTAAATATAAAATTACTTGAAATTTGGGTCTTCTTGTATTTGGAACCCCGGGGACTATAAAGTTTGAGTTTGTTCATCTGTTAAAGGCCTTATAAGAAACAAAAAATTCACACTTCCATTAGGCTTCCCCTCCTATCAAGTGAGCAAGTGGTGCTTATCAAGTGCATGGTCACCAAAAATATCAATATTGAAAAAGTTGAATCCTTATTAATTTGATATTTATTTTAGTCATGTTCTAGATTGTTTTGTACCTTCTTATATCACAACATGATGTAATTATAAATGGCCAGAGCGATCTCTTTTTTACTCTTTAGCTTGAGCACTCATATTATTTACTTTCGATAGTCGTGTTTCTTTGTTGTGTAGAAGTTTTCATTCTTCCTAACAGTTATGTCAGTTTTGTAGTTTGTATTCTTAATGTTGGTTCAGACGCGCTCTTATTTGTATCTGTACCATATAATTTCTGCAGGCTAGCCCATCTGATCCAACAACATTTCCATTCATTTTACTCGGAAACAAAATTGATGTGGATGGTGGAAACAGTAGAGTGGTATGGTGGAGGATACTATATTGACTTCTTCATGGATATTTTCTTTATCTTTTCCTTATTTCTTCCTACCCTTTTGTTTTCATTCAATATCATGCAGGTTTCAGAGAAAAAAGCCAAAGAATGGTGTGCTTCCAGAGGCAATATGCCTTACTTCGAAACCTCCGCAAAAGAGGATTACAATGTTGATGCTGCTTTTCTTCAGGTGGCTCAACTTGCTCTGCAGCATGATCGTGATCAGGACATGTAAGTATATTGGGCTAATCTGAAATTTACATAGTTCTTTCTCATCACTATGCTTGTTGTTCTTGTAGGTTGCCTTGTTTGACTTACTGCCAGTTGGTATATTTTTGTGTATTTTTTTTAATACTTCTGTAACCTTTTCATGTTCATAAAGTATGCAATCAGTTTCCCATGTTGCAAAGTACAAACATAATGGATATGCAATAGGATTGTACATACTGCCAAAGATGCATATGAGTGTTGGATTTTTTTTCTCTGATAATAGAGGACAAGAAATATAGGAACAGAATAATAATAATGAAAATATAATATAAAAAAGATAACTATCAGAATCTCTTTGGCTTAAGGAGCAAACTTCCATTTGAAGGTCTCGGACCTTTGCATGTCTTGCACTTGGACAATGAAATTATTCCATCAGAAAAACAATTGTGGCTTCACACCGGTCACACACAATATGGGAATAGCATGTAATTTATTGATTCATATTCTCATCATGCATTACAATGTTCTAGTACTTTTTATAAGCTCAAATACAAGAGAAAAGGAAAAAAATAAAAAATTATAATTACATCATATAAAATTTATGATCTCTTCTTTCTTCTAAAGAAAATAATATTATTGACTTGATTTGAATAATAATCTTTTTATAATTGATACCTTTTGATGTTATTATTGATTGATAGACTTCGTAGAGATGAACCTTAAGATTTTCAATCAAGATTGTAATCTTCAACAAAGATCGAATTTGATTTCTTCTTTTTTCTATATGTATTTATTTTTTCTTCTGTTTGGGTAGATATTGTCATGTGGCAATTTATGACATTTACAAAATACCTCTAAACTAAGTAAATTTATTCCAGAAGAGATAAACTAAATTGATTCAGCATCATATACTCTCGCTGCCTAGGGGCGTGTCCCAACTTTGTATAATTGTTGCTGCGTAGGGGCTTGTCCCGACTTTGTATAAGTCAAGTATGAATCAACTTTGATGATAGAATATCTTGACCAAATGAAAAGTCTTGTACTAAATTTGATGTAGGATGAGTAATAGTTGATTTTTTATAATAGAGGACTAAAAAGATAGGATGTGAATGATAATAATGACAAGATAATAAAAAAATAATTACCAGGCTTGCTTGGGCTCAAGGAGTTAACTTCCAAGATGAATGAAGGTCTCGTGCTTCCGTACGTATCACACCGTGTGGATAATGAAATCATTCTATTGGAAAAACACTTGGAGCCATACAGACTCACACCACTCACACACAATGTGGAAAAAGAGTTCAATTTATTGATTCATATTCTCATCATGCATTATAATGTTCTGGCCCTTATTATATGCTCAAGCATAAGAGAGAAAAAGGAAAATATTAAAATAAAATAATTATAATTATTTCAAATCAAATATTTGATTTATTCTTTTTCTCGAAGAAGATAATATTCTTGACTTTATGAATGACAATTAATAGTTATTAATAGTTATCACATGGGGCTATGTTATTATTCAATATGTTCAAAGCGTGTAATGTGAAAAATTATCGAAGGCAGTGTTTAATTTAAGATGAACTGGTATATCAGAAAGGATAACCTAAGGATGGGCCTTCATGCCAGTTTTGTCATTGTTTTTTGAGAAGTTTGTCAGGCTTGCAAAGATTGATACATCAACATACTAGCATCATTGTTATTTGAGAAGTTCTCAGGGGCCTGCAAAGATTGATACTTCAATGTGCTATCATCATTGTATTTTGAGAAGTTTCTCCGGCTTGCATAGATTACTTCGGCTTCTAAGCTAGATTGGCTGTCAACAAACCTAAGTATCTATGAACTACAAATGAAACTTTTCAATGCTAGGGAAATTAGAAGATTGTGTTGTTTGATACATGATGATGTAGGAAGAAAAATAGGCATCAAACAATAATTATACAGATGATTTCTGTGCTCCTGTTGTGATTTTGAAGTAGCAAATTCATAATAACTTTCTCGCCAGAGGATTATACAAGGAAATGCAAATATCTTCTAGCTTGATCATTTTCTGATGCTCCTTGTTTTGTATTTAGAGAGAAGTATCTTTGTTAAAAAAATGAAGCTTGAAGGTGTTATTTTTTCCAAAGGATGATATCCTACAGAATGTTGCCATGCTTTTGATTCTTTGTAGTCTCATTTTTTTAATCTGATTCTTGGAATCCAGAGTACTGTTTAACACATCTTACTTTTTTGTCTGCAGATATTTCCAGGCCATCCCAGAACCTGCTTCACAAACAGAGCAAAGAGGTGGGTGTGCTTGTTAGGGTGAGCTGTGGCAGATTCACCTCTACCGTCTTGATCTGTTGATTGATTGATGTTTTGCATGTTTTGTTTATGATTTTGGCCATTTTTATTGGCTGATGTACCCCATCACATGTACACTATATTCTATACTTAGTTTGCGATGCATGTTTCTCTAGTTTTTGGTGTCCTCGCAAGTTCTGTTGTCAAACATATCTTTAAAAAAAACCAAGAGGTGAGAATAAGCCACATTTTAGGGTCACACCCATGCTTGGAGCAGTGTATCATATGACAAAGGCAGGATTATCTACTGGTCTGGCGCAGAATGGCCCCAGCTACTTTGTTTTTCGTTTCTGCTGGTCTAATTGCGGCTAATAATGATTATGCGATTGAGTAGTACTTCTTTTTTTTTTTTTCACATCTTTGATTTTGAATATCTGATGCTTTGGTTCAGTCAGGCATATTGAGTTAGCTACTTGGTTTTGGTGGTCGTCATTTAGTGGCCATCATTTGAATAGCTACGTGTTTATTCAATTGTGTGTTGGGTATATAGTTTTTGATCGTTTGATGTGTGGATGTGTCTTGTTGAGCCAACTTGGTTTGGATCTGACTTTGTTGCAAGATTGGTATCAGGGCATCGAGTTGATTCAGTTGGATGCGCTGTTAGGTTGGGGGTTATGCTCTCGATCGTTAAGTTAGATATGTCAGGTTGTGTAACATTGATTTAGAAGGAATTGGAGACTGGCCCCTTCTTGAGGTCCTTTATAAATTTTCTTGTAATTGTTAGCAATTAATGGGTAGTTATTCCACAGGAACATGAGGGTGTCGAGCTTCTTATGATCTATTTTTCATTTTATATTTCATCGTATTTATCTAATCCAGCCTTATCATAGAATTGAGATGCTTCGCCACTCGATTTGGCTGTGACATGGATTAGGATTCTCTATGGATGTCAATTCGACTCTATTGAAGATTCGAACAGCCTCATGACCTACTTGATTCGACTGTATTGCCGCCTCTGATATAGAATAAGTTTCTGTGTCTTGATCAAGCAGGTAAGCTTTGATTGAATCATTAAATGTTTTATAGGAACTTTCATGGTCATTTCGGTAATGAGTTCGATGTCGGAGACCCCTATGAAGCTTTTGACTTGCCTGGTATTGAAGCCAGGCACAAGTTTTAATCGTCCGTTATTCTCCTCTGCTCATCCAAATTGGCCCTGTGAAAAAGGAGCCATGCATCGATCGGATGTGTGCCGAGAGAACATGGCAGTAGCAAACTCAAATGTTGCGCCTCGTTTATATCACAGGACAGTGAGTCAAGAGAAGAATTACGATCGCAAGAGGATGATGATGGTTTCTTGCTGAAAGAAGACTGGTACATGTGTTTTATTAGTGAAGAAGATTCGGATGTGGTTGTTGCTTGAGGCCGGAAGTGTGTTCTCAGCGTCGATCGGAAGGATGATGCCATATGGTTGGATGCACTGCACTGGAAAAATGTCAGGCGTGACGGCGTAGCCTCCCGCAGATCGATCAGATGTACGTACGTGTGAGCGGGACCCAGACGACGAGATCTCCACACCGACACTTGTTCAGGGAGCGTGGGTTCAGTCTTCTTACGTGACCGGCCGTACGTACGTGGAGCACGACAACTTGGCAGGCATATCCATGTCGCGCGCGCGGATCGGCGTGCCACTCTCGGAATCCACACCCCACCTGGCCGACGAATCACACACCTTGCAGGGCTTCGATGGAGCGCCACAAGAGTCGTCATCCTGGCTCTGGTGGACGAAGAAAGCGTAGAAGCTGCCGGAGATGGTGAGCCCGGACATGCACCACACTAGGATGGCGACCGGGAAGGGCATGATGGCGGCGACGCGATAGGAGAACATGGCGACGAGAGTGGTGGAGAGGGTCCATACGGCCAACTTAAGCGCTCCCCTCCTCTTAAGGGAGTCCGGGTGGGGGCTGTCGAAGAGGCGGAGGCAGAGGAAGAGTGCCAACAGATCGAGATAGGAGGCGAGAATGAAAGCTGCGTTCCAAGGGTCGTCCCTGGAGCGATAGAGGGCTGTGAGGGAATTGATGGAGAGGAAGGCCAACCCAAAGGCTTGCATCCACGAGCCGTCGGTGAGAGCATCGGCCTCACCGGAGGAGCCCACCACGGTGGATACATATCCATGACAGCCATCGGGAGCCAATTGCCTCAGGACCTTTCCTCTCTCCATCACAAGCGAAGTGCAAAGGCTTTATCAGGGAAGGGCCTGCTGTTCATCGCTTCCCACGTCGTCGTCCCTGTTATATAAGAGCGCCACGCCGTCACCAACATTACAACGCCAATCAATTTTTTTTATTTTTCTATTCACCTTTTCAATTTAATTTTAATTATCCTTTCTCAAAAGAAAAAAACTCTAATGTGTTCGTAAACACGAGATGACCTTTGATCTGTATGCGTAGAGTCATCGATAACCTGAGGAGAAGAAATATTTCATAAGATTTTGTAGGGATGTAGTTCGTAACCGACTCAAGTTATCCCTAACTTCTAAAAATATTTCTATAAATATCTTACAAGAATGATAGTTCATAACCGACCCGAGCTACCCCTATGCTCTTAGAAATATTTTCACGAATATTTTACAGTAAAAATAACTCGATAACTAACCCAAACTATTTTGACGGTGTTAGGTTGTTTGAGCATTTTTCCTATCATGAACCTTCTCTGATTGTTTATTTTGTATCGATCTTGAATATATTATAAGATGTTGTTGAAGATATCCTCCAGTACAATAATAATAATAATAAATAATAATAATAATAATAACGTGCTCTCATATCATAAAGCATTCGTTTGTGTTGATCCAGTCAAAAGTCAAATGTCTGCTCAAAGCCGTGTTTGTGACTCGATCCTCTTCGTCAGTCATTCAGCTTTGGATCAATTCCAATGGTACATTCTTAACTTTTGTAACACGTGATGCGAGGGAAAATAAAATATTGTTCTTATTTAGAGGCACGTCATTGGGTGGATAAGCATTACATTATCGATCGATATCACGATGACTACTCCTTTTATATGCATCATAAATAAATCTTTTCTTTTTGTAATGGATAAATTTTAAAAAATGACATGAAAATTATTAAATTACACCTCATAGCTTCTAAGAACAAATAATAATAATTAAAACATAAAACGAAAAAAAGAAAAAGTCAAGGTGTGAAGGGGTCTATGGAAATCAAAGAATGGAAAAATCTCATTGTGGTAGTTGGATAGATTTTACCTTCCCAACTACCTCATCTACCGTATTAACAACAAATAGGTATAATCTGATAGAAGATAAGATTTTTCCAAGGAAATCTTTCTATTCTGTTGAGACAAATCTTCTATTTTGTTGAGGAAAATCCTCGCTAATTTATTCAAGATAAAACTTCGCTTCTTCAATAATTATTCTTATCTTCTATTCTTTCCATCATAAAGACTTGAAAAGTATCATATTAGTCGTAAGAATACATTCGACATATGATATCTAATTAAAACTCAATAAATAGTTTAATTATTATTAATATATCATAAAGATATTATGACTCTCCAACTCCTTAAAAGAGTAGAATTCTCATATTTTTTATTTTATTACTTAGCCACTGTAGTTGACACTTTAATTTACGAGTAATTAAGGTTATTTTCATTTTGATTTTATGTCTAATCGAAGTGATTTATATAAATTAATTTTGACTGAAAAGGAGCTTACCATTGAAGGAGTGAGATGTAGAATAGTGGCCAACTAAAGTATATGGTTTTCAAATGTGATAGCATTTGGAAACAATCTAAATCAAGTCATATTTTATCATATCAAGTTGAGTTGACCACGATTATATGGTTTTCAAAGACGATAGCATTGGAAATCAATCTCAAGTCATATTTATGGCATCAATCTCGGTCATTTTGAAGTTGAGTTCTTCTCATTGCATAGTTCTCTCTGTGGTTGCGTCGGTAGATAGAAACATTGGAGCAAAATACAACAACGACATCGTCGTCAATATCATCATCATAACAAGCATAACAATTTCAAAACGACCGAGTGAGTCGTGCAAATCGAAGTCTATTTGCTGTCGGCATAAGTTCGAGAAACGCGGCCAGCACGGCATCATCCCGGGGAAGCTTCCTGGAAATTTCCTCGGGTGACATTTAGTCGCCGGAGTCAATGGTGTCTGACGGACAACCGAGAGTGGCCTCCAAGTCAGGACGGAGGCTGTGGAGTTGGAAGGAAACTACCCTCTTTTTGTTTTGTTGACTTTTAGGTCCTTTATTTGGTATGAACTCATCGTCACAAAGTTGGTTTCCTTCAAAAAAAAAAAAGCTCCAGTGACTATGGCATGGATGATGGAAATCTAACGTGTTTGTTTGATACTTTGCTCACTTTGTCAATCTGTTCTTCTAAAAGAGAAGCGAGACGGGGAACAGCTGCTTCAACATGGTAGATTGGAGTTCTCATTCTTTCAATCGAAGCTTCTTGGTAAATTGTTGTAATGGGAACATTACTCTTCTGAAACGTAGTCGAAAAATGTCTGTCTATGACATATGCATCAGAGAGTTAAGAATGCCATCACCATATTACGATGAACATGCGATGAAATCATGTTTCATCCCCTCCCCTCAAGAATGTGGAGTCATGTTTCGTCCACCTCATGACAATCCCATTTGTTAATGCGCCACTAGAGACCAGACTTTATAAGACTCAAGTTCCTATGTTCTAAAATCCACGGTTTCGATTCCGTCAACTTGTGCTAATAGTGAAAGATGTCGGTGGTTAACCTAAAATGCCTGACCAACTTGTGCAAGGAGCCATCTGATTTGTTTGATATGCCTTCGGGTGTCTGATGCAAGGTCAACTTGCACCAAGATCAATATTGATTACGGGGTCTCGAATCATGGTAATTTTATTGACTCGATAAGTCAACCACTGGTATCTCTATGGGGGTGGTCAAGTTTGGTCCGTCAGAGAGATTATTGATCTTCGATACTTAGCCCAATAAAAGTGTATTAGGCAACTCTCGATATTTAGCTCGATGAAGGTACATCAGATTATCTTTGATACTTAGCCCAAGAAAAGTATATCAAACTATTTTCGATGTTTGATTTTAGAAGGGTGCATCAAACATCCATCGATGCGTAATCCAATGAAAACATATAAGATGGTCTTTGATGCTTAGCCCAATAAGAATGCATCGAACAATCTTTGATATTTAATCCAAAAAGAA